AGGGTTGAAAGGTGGTTCTATGTCCAAGAACGGACTTAGGAGCCAAAACGACCGGTTAGCCGGAAAATAACCTTTTAAAGGTTATTTGTATTGATATGGGTTTTGTGATGATAAAACCATGTTAGGAACGTGTCAAGGGTGATTTGAGAGCTTTCACAAGGTTTAAAGAGTCGCCGGAGTGGTCACCGGAGTTCGTCAAAGTTCATCGGAGTTTGGCCGGAGTTCAACCGAGAAGGGTAGAACTTCATCACGCTCATTTGAGGTGAGTGGACGGCTTAATGTCTTATAACTCTTGGGTTAATTATGAGATTACCTAAGTAAATGTTATATGTGTTCATAACGATGTTTAAAAGATGCTTAAACATGTGATTATCCAAAGTGTTTAGACATTATATGTATGACCCATTGGTATCATAAGAGAAGCATGATATGAAAATGTTTATAAAAACATATATAATGTTTTAAGGGATAAAAGAGGCATAAAATGCTTGGTTATAACTTAATACACGTTGGGATTAAGTTTGACACAAATCGGGTTTGAAATGGCGAGTCAACAAAAATGTTGACTTGGTTACCCAGGGGGTAACCGGCGCCGGTTATAGGCAAAACCGGCGCCGGTTATGGATCGGCATGGCCGGTTTTATTAAATTAATTAATAACCGGCGCCGGTTGTGTCAAAACCGGCGCCGGTTGGGCACTGTTTTGCCTATATGTTGATTTTTAATGCATGAATTACATGGATGATTATGCTTAGGACTTAAGACTTGGTTTAGTCTTGATTATTGATTATGATATAGACCTTATCTAGGATGATATGTGGTAGATCATAAGTCGGGTGGAGTACCCAAGGATCGGGCGGTTATCCTCAAAACTCGGTTATAGGGTGGAGTACCCAAGGATCGGGCGGGTATCCTCAAAACTCGGTTATAGGGTGGAGTACCCAAGGATCGGGCGGTTATCCTCAAAACTCGGTTATAGGGTGGAGTACCCAAGGATCGGGCGGTTATCCTCAAAACTCAGTTATATAGGGTGAAGTACCCAAGGATCGGGCGTGTATCCTCAAAACTCATAGATTATCATTTTGTAAATTTAGGGCCGGGCGGTGTCCTCATGTTAAGATGATTTGAACCAGGAGGAGTTCTATACACTCATAGGTATATGGGTGGGTTGGGGTTTAAGCCAAGATTACCGGCTATATTATTTCCCAAATAAACAATGACCTACGGGTCGGGTATTTCCAAGTGTATATATAATGATATATATTTCATAACTTGGGGGAAGGAACTATATGTATATGTATCACCCTATGTTTGGGTCTTATACTTGAAGCGTTAGTTATTCTACATTTAGCCTGCTACTCGCTCGGTACTTGTATTGACCCCTTCGGGGGGGCCCACCATTTCAGGTTGAAGCTCAAGCTTGCATTCTCACCTTGCTCGGTGAAGAAATCTAAAGGGAGACGTGGTTCGTGCTTCCTTTACTGTTTTAAACTATAAACTATGCTCATGGATACTTTGTAATAAATACATTTGTTTTGGGCCTGCGAGCCCACGTTTTGGCCATATGTGGCCCATGGTTAAACTTTGAACATTTCCGCGATTCGTTCAATCCAAATATGTGATGTTGTTATGTATGTTTACTTACTGAGTATGGTATGAACAATGTTCATGGACGCCTTGTATGATTAAGTCATGTTGACTTGCGAGTGACGTCATTTAGTCATACGGCGGTTGTACACGCGCTCGGATGCGGTCTGGGGCGTGACACAAGCCAAGCTCCACAAACCTTCCTCCTTCATCTTCTTGGATGGATATCATGGGGACTGAGGTGCATTTGGACGAATTGAGTGGGGAAGAAGTTCAACTGAATGGTTTGACATGGGGAGATGACGTGGGTGACGGTGGTAATCCTCTAGCTCCGGTGGGTGTTGAACTGAATGCGACTTCAAGGGAAGAAGATGGAGAAGGTGTGGAAGTTGAAGCTTTGGAGAAGGGTATGTTGATTTTTCCTCATTTTTGGTATTTTGTTGGTCAGACAAACAACTTGCAATTGCAGCGTCTGTCTAGCCTAAACTCAACGTGGTTTCATACTTGTTTTCAACTGAACATGGTTTCGTAGTTGGTAGAGTGGTACATAAAATGTGTGTGCGGCCAGACATCTTAAAATGTTTGTCTCCGTAGAGGAAATGTCTGTATTCGCATGAGGAAAAATGTATATGGCTATGGATAAACATGTATGTATTCTACTGCACGTTTGATTATTTTACTTGAGTAAGTATTTTAAGTGTGTGTGGTTTTGTTTGGAAACATGGTTGTATTTTGTAATGTGAAGTAAAATGAGGTGAATTAATTATACATATACATATAAATATATAACAATAATATATATTAATATATTATTGTAATTGTGTAAAAGTGATGCAGTGAATATGTATAGTTCTATTATGGTAATTCTGTTTAAAAGTGATGCATTACATTGTGTGTTTAATTGAACATGTATACTTTGATTAAATAACACATGAAGAAGAAGAGATTTGTAATAAAGTTCCCTTTGTTGGCATGGAGTTCCCTAGTAAAGATGTAGTGTATGATTTCTACAAGGAATACGGGAGAAGAGTAGGGTTTCCTGTTAGAATACGAAATTCAAGGAAAGACGCAGAAGGAAGCACAATTGCAATTGCATTAGAGTGCGGGCGCGCGGGAAATAGACAAAGTTGGGCACAAAATGTTTTGAAACCTCAACCTTCAATGCAATTTGGTTGCTTGGCAAAAACAAGAGCACATATAAATTATGAAGGGGCATGGGTCATTTCAACGTGTTGTTTAGATCATAACCATCCTATGAGTCCAACGAAGGCTAGACTATTTCGGTGTTATAGGAGGTTGACGCCAAAAGCTATGAAGCAAATTGCAATCAATGATGTCGTGGGTATACGACTTAATAAGAGTTTCCACTCACAAGTCTTAGAAGTGGGTGGATATGATCAACTTCCATTCATTGAAAAGGATTGTCGGAACTATATAGATAAGGTGCGTCAACTTAGGTTGGGGGTTGGTGATGTGGTGGCATTGCAAGATATTTTTTTTAAATTCAAGCACAATGCTTCGGGTTCTTCTTTATGCTTGATTTGGATGAAGAGTCACGGTTACAGAATGTATTTTGGGCGGACAATCGATGTCGATATGCTTACAAAGATTTTGGTGATGTCATTACGACTTTTGACACAACATATCTTACCAATCGTTATGACATGCCATTCACGCCATTTGTAGGAGTGAATCACCACGGGCAATCAATCTTGCTTGGTTGTGGTCTCATCTCGAGTGAAGATACTTAAACATTTTTGTGGCTTTTTAGAGCTTGGCTTGAGTGTATGGATGGTTGTGCCCCTCACGGAATTATTACCGACCAAGATCGTGCTATGCAAAATGCCATCCAAATAGTCTTTCCTAATACACGACATCGATGGTGTTTATGGCACATAATGAAGAAGCTACCGGAGAAGTTGGGAGGGTTTACCCATAAAGATGAAATTATTGTCGGTATACATGATGCAGTATATGACTCTCAATTCCCTGTTGACTTTGAAGTTGGTTGGAATTGTCATTTGGAAAGGTGGTAGGCAATTGTGTAGTAATATTGAATGACTTGCCAGTACTCTGGGACGTAAAGCTTGTGTATGTCATAGTCACAGACAAAATATGTTTGGACTAGACATTTTGTTTCTGGGGCATTGTGGTTGTTTCTGCAACACGTACAGACAAAATTTATCTGCGCCAGACATTAGTAGTCTGGGACATAATGCTTGTGCATGTCAAACTGACAGACAAAATTTCTCTGTGCCAGACATTAGTAGTATGGGAGATAATGCTTGTGTATGTCAAACAGGCAGACAAAATTTGTATGTGTCAGACATTAGTAGTCTGGGACATAATGCTTGTGTATGTCAAACTGACAGACAAAATTTGTCTGCGCCAGACATTAGTAGTTTGGGACATAATGCTTGTGTATGTCAAACTGACAGAAAAAATTTGTCTGGGCCAGACATTAGTAATCTGGGACATAATGCTTGTGTATGGCCAACTGACAGACAAAATTTGTCTGTGCCAGACATTAGTAGTATGGGACATAATGCTTGTGTATGTCAAACTGACAGACAAAATTCGTCTGCGCCAGACAAGGTTGTAACTAATGTCTGGTGTATTCATTATAGGTATTCACTTCAAGATGATGAATGGCTTAGGGTCATGTTTGAAGAACGCCAAAGGTAGGTACCTTGTTACTTGAAACCTACATTCTGGGCAGGTATGTCCACAACTCAACGAAGTGAGAGCATCAACGCTTTCTTCGACCTTTTTGTGCACTCTAAAACAAGTCTAAAACAATTCGTGGAGCAATATGGTCGTGCCTTAAAATTTAAGGCTGAAAAAGAGTTTCAAGCGGACGCAGAGTCATTTTCAAAATTGCTACCGTGTGTTTCGAAATTTGCAATGGAGAAACAAATGCAAGGAATATACACAATGGTGAAGTTCAAGGAGTTTCGAGATGAAGTGGTTGGCAAGCTTTATTGTGACATCACAAGGGGTTGGATTTAAACCTACGCTTATTGTGAATGACCGTTGTATGTAGTTAAGAGTGAACTTTTAGTTGGAATTCACAATTACTTGCCATTGAAATTTGGCGCTTTTTTGTGTTGTGATTGATTTCAAACAGTCATATCTATTGCACACAAGAATGTCATCTTTTGCAAGTTTGTCAAAAAGGAGTACAGCGTGACAGACAAATGAATACCCTGACAGACAGATTAACATACCTAGACAGGCATTTGAATTTACTACATACATGTATAAAACTTCACATACAACTAATTGCATTATCTCAAATGCCAGATTAACATACAACTATGTTCATCTAACCGCATTTAAGAAATCCATATTGGGAGAAATCTTCTATTATACTATTGAGGTATTAGTAATTTAATGAGGTAATGACCATTGAGGAATTAAAATTCAAACAAATTCAAACTTAATAGCCAAATTTGTTTTCACCAATCTGGAACAAAAACATCATACAACATCGTAGATATACATCCACGCTTCCTATGTTTTCACCAATTTGGAATAGCATTCCACATTTATAAAGAATTCCAAAATTCCTATGCTTCCTCCACATTCTTTACTCCCCACAAACGTACAACATATTGACATCGATTGTTCCACATGTTGGAATATAGACAGACAAGTAGAAGGAAGACAGAGAATTAGGCCATGGAGTCAGACAACTAAAAGGAAGACAGACAATTAGGTCATGCAGACAGACAATTTATCAATTGTAATTAAGGTCGAATTAATACCTTGGCGCCTGTTGGGGAACATCGTCAACTAATTCAGCAACCCATGGTTTCACTTCCTTCTCTAGCTGTGACATCGTAAACAGACTATGGAGATATGGCAGCCGATCACACAATTCCCTGACATAAAAAACACTTCTAGCACTCTTAAACGAATCATATACTCGAACCAACTTCTTTTGCAAAACAACTTCTGCCAACATCGAGTGCTTGTTCTGTATGTTTAAAGGAACGAAAACCTGCAAAAAAAATATACATAGTAAAAAGCCTATAAAGTTCTGTACAGAAACATATTGGTTTGCTTAACACTAAATATTACCCTTCAAATGATCGCCAATCTTGTTTGCTGAGAAGTTTGCCTGCAACCCAATTTTGCACATCGCCAATTTCCTTCCTCATGATTTGATACTACAAAAGGTTTTTATATTTGTCGGTGTCCGGTGTTCAAGATAAACGTACTACACAATATTTTCCTGCTGCCCTATTTATATTTATCGGTGTTCGGTTTAATTTGTTATACTTACCACAAGATATGGTTCAATATGGTACAGTTGTCTACAACTTTGTCTCTATTTAACAAGAAGTTGATGACATCAACATGCTAAAAGCTAAGAACAAAACAACAAAACAGTGTCATGTACTTCACAACGCACAATATATCAACATAAGAAGGTGAGAGCATGAACTTACATAGGTGGCCAACCAAAGATTACATGTGACCAAGTTTTGGAAAAATCCTCTTCGCACTTCGAATTCATCAGGGATCATTAAAACAACAATCAAAGGAGGCTGATTGTCATCACCTTCAATCCAATCCTTAAGTTCATTCCATTCATCAAGGGATTCATTGATGAAGATTGGGTTGATGGTGTGACTCGGTTCAGTAATGGCTTTCAACCGCTTTCTTTTTGGTGTTGTATAAGGGCTGACCCTGTATTTCGATGGGAATTTTAGTCGTTTAACAAGTACTCCCATCGACATTTGTTTTGGTCCTAGAGTTTTAATGGGAACACTTTGCAAGTCTGCCACAACCTCATCCCAATATGCATCATCAATTGGGCCTGATGGTGCTAACTTAGAAGCAACCACCTAAATGAAATAAGCAAGACAGTGTCAAAATGTTTGTAGACAGACATCTTAATATATAGGACAGACATATGGACTTACTTCAAGATGAGCGGGTGATATGATATCATTCGAAGTTGTACCAACATCAAACTCCATGACTTTATTTGAATCATCCATTGGTGCAGATGGTTCAGTCACCTACATTAAAAATTTAAAATGCAAGACAGTGTGAAAATGTCTATAGATAGACATTTTTATGTATACAGACAGTTATATTGGCTTACTTCAAGAAGAGCGGGTGATATGATCTGCTTCGAAGCTCTAGTAACATCACAGTGCGTGGCATGTGATTTGCATCAGCCATTTCTCCAGTTGGTTCCTCAGCCACCTACATTAAATCCACCATGAAGTTAAAAACGGTTTTAAAAGGTCTGTAGATAGACGTCTTGTATTGGATTGGACAAACAGATTGACCTACTTCTTCAGCGTATGTTGGCTCGTCTTCAACGTCCTGTTCAACTTGGTCTTTATCTTCAACCTCATGATCATTGAGTTCCATTTCCATTATCTTATTCTCTAAACCAACCTGCACAAGCACTGTATTAACACACCATGTCTCACATTTAAAAGAGGACACATCAAAGTACCTCAACTGCCTTGTCATGAGCATCAACTTCCATGTCCAAAGTCACATGCTCCGGAGCAACCTATACAACCAGCTAACTTAGAACACTACCACTCCCAATGAAAGAATCAGAAAGAATGTTATGGCATCAAATATTATTTACCTCAGCCGCTTTCTCTGGCACAACACCCTCTGCATTGAACATGTCTTCCATCAATTTCAACCTGCTTTCCAAAGCAGCGACATGCTCCCGGAGCACTTGAATCTCATCCATGACTTTCGCTTTGTAACCCTTGCCCCACACTACTTCATCCTCAATGTCATTCTCACATTCATCATCATCATCATCTACTTCTTCCTCCTATACATGAAACTTAAAGACTACAATACGATGTTATTTGAAAAAAAATCAACAAAATAAGATATAATACATCATCATTGTCCTTGAAAACCAATTCATTCAACTTGCGTGCATGAAAGAATCCTTTAGCCTTCCAGTTGAGCATAGGAACTTCTTCACTTCCAACACGTTCAACGCATTGTTCTCCTAGGTTAGGCACATTTTCATACGCCCAAACCTATAAAAATTAATAAAATTAATATGTTTGTCTGCCAAAAATGTAACCATCCAAATGTCTGTATGCACAAATAAATGTCTGTCTAGAACAATGAATTTGATACTACAAATGAATGAGACAAATTACCTGTAGAATATGAGGACATCCATATAAAGTGAACTTAGCACTAGTGGCCTTGGTATTCCTGAACCTCATGGGCTGCCCTTTCATGATACTTTTCAGGTTTTCAACCATGGTGTTATAGGACTCAAGACCCCATTGATACAGCTTAAACTTCTCAAACTCATCCGCCCACTTAACATGCTCCAAATTTATCCTGGTTTTGTTGTCCCTAGCGAGTAAAACTGTCAAAACGTAACAAACGGACACTAGCTTCACAGGATCTCCTCTTGTTGTACGCCTAAATGAATTTAGTTTGTCCTTCAACGTTTTGTAAGTAATGTTCATGGATCCACGAAAGTACTTGTCAATAAGCGTCCCTTGCACTTCTTCATCATGATTGAATACAAGATTTCCCCCCGATGATTTCAGACCAGCGATGCGTCAAAAATCAGCATACGTAAACTTTAGCAACCTCCCTTGAATATAAAACCACAACTCGTCTTCAGGCTGGTCCTTGACTAGCCTCATCAGAAGAGAATGGATGATTTGGACAAAAAATTGCATGTCTGGCACGGATATTAGGTTGCCCCATGGCAAATTCTTAAACTCTTGCAATTGATCCTTTGTCAATGCAGCTTTGACCAAGCTTACAGCCTCTTTGAAATATGAGCACACAAAATATTGGGCTCAAAAGTGCTTGCGAACTGGAATTTGTAGTTCGAATGCCCTGTATAATTAACACAAATACAAATCAAACATTTCAGACAGCTCAGAAGGAAGGACAAACATTTTATATCACTTGACAGACAAGTATGTTCATTGGACAGACAACTACACAACAATATAAGCAATTCCATATCACATGCACAACAACTCTATATCAAAATGAGGACCCAGACAATTTTAATGGTTTGCCAGACAACTATGTTCGCTTGACAGACAAGTACAAAACAATTTTAAGCAATTCCATATCACATGCATAACAATTCTACATCAAGATGAGGTGCCAGACAATTTTAATGGTTTGCCAGACAACTATGTTCACCTGACAGACAACTACACAACAATTATAATGGTTTGCCAGACAACTATGTTCACATGATAAACAACTAGAAATGGCTTGCTAGACAATTCATTTCAAATGATAGACCTCTATAATGACATCACAGACAACTTTCAAGAATTCAAAACGAAGTGACACACAACCAAAACAACCATGGACAGACAAGTTCAAAGTGGTCAGACAAACACAATGACAAACAACACTAAAATTACAACTCTATTCACACCAAGATAATATCAATCCAAAAAATATGAAAAAATTACATACCTTTCAGCCATTTTTGTTAAGCTTGTACGAACCATGGACCTTAAAACCTTGAGGAGGGCGGTTCGTTCGACGGTGGTGAACAGTTCAGGAGGGTGGTTCCTTCCTTGGGTTTCTGAACTCGTTCGAGATGAGGGAAGCTTCGCGTTGAGGTTTCTAGTTGGTTCGTCGATGGGTCCTCACGCTTGATTTCGAACAATTCGTGAGGGTGAGGACGGCGGTTGTGGCGGACGAGTAGGGTGGGCTTGAGGTCGGTGACGATGGGGAGGGGGGAGTGGGGAATTTTTCAAAACTACCTAAGTAAGGGAAAAGGTGGGGGGCGAGAGATTTGGGAAGGAGGGAGTCTGGCCGCACGTGAGAGAATGGAGAGAGGGTAAATTTTTGGAAAGGTTTTTATATGAGATACAATTTGGGCCTTTGGGGTATACTTGGGTACCCATTTTGGAAAGGCAATTTTGTATTTTTTCACAATATTTGTCGTAGAATGTCATGAGTCATGACTCCAGTCCATAATGGAACCATCGCTTCAGCGGTTTAAAATGCCTTTAAAAATTAAAATGCCTCCTGCTTTTCCTTTAAAATGCCTCCTGCTTTTCTCCGGTTGACATATCCGCTTGTTCCCCGCGCTCAAGCGAGAACCGTCTTCTTCAGCAAAATGTCTAAAGCACCTTCCAACACTAGCCCAGGTCAGTTTTCTTCCACTCTTGGTGTCCCAAATCGAAAACTTTGGGGTTTTCGACGAAAAGTTGGGGTTTTCATTTCCAATTTCAGATTCTCGGAGAAATCATAGTGGGGATACTGCACTGGATGCTCGGGTATATATCAGGAGAAAAAAAGCCAGGAAAGCAGTGGAAGTTTCTGCCGAAGTTCCTGAGAAAGAATCTTCTGATAAAAAAGTATGCCCTGCATTAATGTGTTACACAAGCGTTCATTTTCTGAAGCTATTGGCTTTGAACTTGTTCAGTATTACCCCAAGTTCTCATTTAAGCTTTCTACAGGTTATTGTGCTTCCTGATATCGAGGATTTTTCTTATACAAGTGAGAACGTCCATGTTCAGTCACGCAGTCCTTTACATCAATGTAATTAAAAGTATCCCACAAAATCTTTTTTGGTCCCTTCTACAGGGTTATTGTTATCAACGGATTTTTCTTTCTCTTTATGAAAGATAATACTACGTAGGAAATAATTAATGAATGAATTATTAGCTTTCTATACACTACCCAGTTTCTTAGACCAGTCCTAGATATTTCATAAGGAAGAACGAAGCGCCGTCTCTAAAGAAGCTACTTTTTAGTTTGCACATAATACTAGAAAGGCCATTTGAGAATTGAAGCATATTGATTTGATCCCAGCTCCACAATAGCAGCCTTTCTTTTTAGTTCATCTTGTTCGACTAGATATGTACTCAATTAATAATAATGTACTCAGCAGAGTCGCACATTGTGTAACACACCCTTCTTTTCATAATAAGTTGTAATTAAAAGTTGTAGCTTGTAAGTCTGATGGCGGGTTAATGCTGGATAGTTGGAATAATGGAGAACTTGTGATAACTTTGATGGGAGCTATGGTTTTATTTTCTTTCCTAAGACGGTGTTTAGATGATATATGTATTGTTCAGGGCTTATAAAGAGAGCAATACAAAATCAATACGTCTCTTCTAACTTATCTGCATAGATCTATATGCATTAGAAGTTCCTGAAATTTGATCTGACATAGGCTAATATTGTAGCAGTAACTTGTAAATTGTAGTCCTAAATAAGTAAGCATCATACAAAATACTCAATGTAACTGATGTGTTGCATACTTGCATTGAGAATGTGACCTGATACTCACGTTGTTTTGAACTTACTTAAGTTTCAATGTTTCGTGCTTTTTGGTTTTTAAAGTGAATACCCCTTTGATGTGGTTCATTTGTATTATCATTCTTACTGGTGGGCTGTTTGTGCAGTACCTCTCTCAAGTGAACACATGATTCGGAAGGAAGTTCTGTCCTCAATAAACCAAACAGGTATTCTTGCTTTGTATTTCATTTTGGTAGCATTTCCTCACGCACATGGGTCCACTTAAACTACCGAGGAGTAGGGACTTTTGATCTCTGGGAGACCATACTGGGCCCAGATTTCAAGGACTTACGAGAGATGAACCCGGGAGTGTAACACTAGCCAGCTAGGGGAATTTAGTATCAGTCGTCCATGGCACTGAGTCGCAAATATCCTTCTATTTTTTGGGAAAGTCAAGAAAAGCAGCTTCCTTCATTATTTGGCCAATGATGGATAAAAATCAATTACTCCATCCGTTCTTAGATAAACTTCTCAATTACTTTCTTTGGTTGTCCCAAAATAAACTTCTCATTTCCTTCAAGGAAAGAATATGATGTTATTTGTTTCATTTCTAAATAAATACAAATATCAAGTTTCTAAGCTAAATGTCAATTTTATCAGACTCCTAATGTTGGTGTATCTCTCACATTCCATGATCATGATTCTGAATGTTTTTTCCACATTTATTACTTATTAAGGCAGTAGTAGTATACCGACACAACAGTAGTATGTTTTATGTGCGCTTCATGGCAATACTAGTATTCACCCGAACCCTCATTTTTACTTTTATTTATTTATTTTTTTATTTCACCCTGTGTTCGGTTTAGTTTTTCATTTAACCTATTTTCTAAATCATTTCATGTCCATCTGATCGTTTTAGCTTCAATGTCACACAACTTAGCCAAATACTAGTATTTGTCACTTCCGCAATCAATTCTTAACCAATAGTGCCATCCATGAGAATTTGACAACGCTCATACTCACCTCTATACTTCTTTACATCACTTCAAAAGTTTCCATTCTATTTCACAAGTACAATTTGGTTGACTGGTTGAGCAGACTTTGATGCACAAAGGCTGAATATTTATTTATGCTAGTTTGAAGTTTCTGCTTATAAAAAATGGTACTGTTCCCAGCACCATGCAGTTTTTTTCTTCCTCTGTGGGATACGAAGGTAAGAGCTTAGATGCAGATCCGGTGGCAAAAGGTGCAGCATTGGATTAAAATGCGGGTGAAGGAAATGCAACCATTTTAGAATCTGCATCTGGTTATCTGATTTGCGTGTGAATTTATAGGGATTGGAATGGGGAAGCTGTCCCATATAGCCGTTCCTCTCTCTGCCTGGTGCCTTGGAACCATGCTTTTTCAGAAACACCGTCCCATTTTGTAGTTCTCTGCTGCTGTGCATTTTGCTCACTCTTGAATTGGGCTGCTGCTTGCTACTCGTTGTTTATTTTCATTGCTGGTTGGTGAAGGTGACATGGCAGTTGGGCTGACTGGTGATCACTGTTAAACCCGGGATAATTCTTTTACGTTCTTGGTCTTACATGTTCGCGCCTAGGGTGCATCTATATGGGCCAAGTATCTGATAAAACTAATCAAAATCATTAGAAGCATTCATAATCAAAACCAATCAACAACCAATTGCCCAAAAGTCATTAAAGATCAGACAAAACAAGTAGTTCAAATGTGGTAAAAATTTAATGTGAGTTTATTTTTGGATAAATGGAGTAATACATTGTGCCATCAGCCATGCTCTAGTTCTTCTATTATAGAATCATTGGGAGAGATTTTTAAGATATCCATTCTTTGTATTTATATGTGTTTGCCGTTTGGCATCCTAAATATTAGAATGAGAAAGTTTCCTTCTCTTGCACAAAGCTGAACAACAAATTACAGACAAACACATATAGACACGTCCCCATATACACTCACACCACACACATCCCACATCTCACTCGAGTACCTGTATCAGCGCGCAGTATATGTTTACTTGCACACAATATATGTTTATATGCACATTCTTTTGCTCACGTGCACAATTTACTTGGTCAATAATGCCTTAACAAACCCTATCAACTAGGAAAAACTTAAACTTCCGTTTACTTGATAGTTGACAGTTGATAACTTGATACAGTGCAACCACCTTCCAACTGGGAAAAAGTCCTTGAAGGAATCCGCAAAATGAGATCTTTAGAAAATGCTCCTGTGGACTCCATGGGGTGTGAGAAAGCTGGGAGTTCTCTTCCTCCTAAGGTTATAATCCGTGTACATGACAACTATCTATTACCATTTTACGTTTTGTTGCATGTGATATATAGAAATGTATTTAGATTTAATTAAATTTAATTTGCATATTTGAGTTTTACAAAAAAAACTACATGAGGTTATTTTTCTATCTTTACTAATACTTCAGAGATTGTTTTTCTAAACATGAGAGACCGATGAGTAATTTTTTATGTTATTGGATAGAGAAAAGATCCTACACACATTTGTGTTTGTCTAAATACGGGCAACTAATACATGTGTGTATAGCATGGTAGTTTTGTTTCTAGGATCTTGCAATCCACGAATTATGATCTTTTAGACCCTTTCTGATCCGTGCTAAGATATTGAGCTAACAACCTTGGTTTCAGTTTAGTGTTAGGATTCTCGTTTGTTACCCTTTTTATTTTGATTAGTAAGGTTTTCTGGATAGACATGATAGTACCCTCCTTATATTTGAGTATTTTAGATTCAAATTCTTGGCATATTGGTTTGTTGAAGTGCATTTCAAACTACTCTATGATACAGCTCTTGATTTTACAATATGAATCTTATAATGACATATGCGAATAATAACTATCTACCTAATCGTTAGCGTATGATATTTTCTTTGCAAGTGGAAAAAATGTAAGATCACTAGTGATGACAATTTGAAATGTCTCACAATCCCTTCATGTGCATGTTCACATTAGAAGAGCATTTGACCTAAAACTTTGTCACTATGCTTTCTTTTGCATAAATTAGTAGTTAAATAGTTTTAGAAAATTCATTTGGTGCTTCTTTAAAAAAAAGAAGCTTCATTGGTGCTGTAATGTTCATGTGACTGACCCCAACATACTGAGAATGAAGGGGTAATGATGATGGTAGATATTGATGCATGGTTGATCGTGCATGTTTTTTCATCAGGAAAGAAGATTTGCTGTCCTTGCATCGTCACTTTTGTCCAGCCAAACCAAAGACAACATTACCCATGGCAAGTTGAAAGTTTACCATCTATTGTTTTCTTGAAGGCCCTTTTTCGGCTTGGTGATCAACAGTTATAAGTTAGTTCAGGCACATTTATTATTGAGACTTAGGCTTTCATGTATGTTGAGTGAAGTTTTGGAATGTTGGAGACACAAAGAGGAGTCATGGAAGGCAAAAATGACATGGATAGAGGGCAATTCTTTTTTAGGCTTTACGATTTCATGAGCAAATAGTGGATTACAGATTGTAGTGAAAATGAAGGTAATGGTGGATGACCTCTAGAGATATCTATTGTGGTTCATGTAGCCAGCCCCTGTGATTTGAAAGTAAGGTTTGATGGCTTGCTATTGTTGCTTCCTCCATTGGGATGTCCCAACAAGTGACACCAAATTTTTTCTGACAACTTATCTTCTCCACTGCATAGTTTGTATAATATATCTTGACATGAAATGACCTAACGGAAACCTCCAATCAGTTTTTCTCAGTTTACACTACATGGAGATGGGAAAAAGCAGCTATGGGAGCTCTTTTTACTATTCTTTAATTGACTCTGAAGTTCTTACAACCTGTGCCAAGTGAAAATTATCCAACTTAATTTGAATGGGATACCTCGCCAAGCATTTTTCTAATTTCTAAATGGGAGCACTGTTACTGGCCTACCACTTTCTTATTTCTGACTTCTAGAGTTCTAGTTGTTTATGCTGGCATGATCAGAAATATTGTTCTGATGGTCAGTTTTTCTTTCCTTCAATAATCAAATAGCTCCAAAAAACTCTCCTTTTCCTACTTTACCAATGCTCTTCTACTTCGAGGTCTTGCAACAATCTTGGCTATGTAATCGAAGCAAGACTTTATTTTAGAAGAGTGAATGACCAATATGATATAACATATGACCAACATATTGGGCAATTAATTTGTGTAAATATAAATAGGAGTTGAAGACGATTGCATATTCACTTAATTATATTTAGTAACTAAACATGCATTGATTTCTTTCTTTCATGACGATAGACATGCGTATAAACAAATGTAAATATATTTCATTTCAGGTTGACAACAAAAGGAATATTAGAATAGACCAAAGGTAAGTGTTAGGAATATTACTTGAAAGTCTAGAGGAGTTGAAAAGACTCTCTAGTGAACTTATGGACTCAAATAATGAGAATCTGTAAAGATGATATGCTGTTACTTATAGAATCTCTAATGTATTTATGAGCAGAACCTGCATAATATAATACTACGTAATTTAGACTTTTTTTTCAAAGTTGATTCTTTGTATCTGTTATTTTTTATGGACATTCTATAGTTATTTGTTGACTACTTGGCTTCCGTCATGTCACAAATAACTTAAAGTATGTAACGTTTTCATTTTTTTTTTTGACATTGTGATGCTTAGCAATGTGCATCATATAACTAGGCAGTTAAGACCTACAATTCCTATCTAAAATTACCTGTTTATTGCACTCCAGTAGCCGTAGCCTCTTTATCCCTCCCTACGCCCCCCATTGGCTAGTGTCTTCCCTCTCTGTATGTCAAAGATGTCTGCTTAGATCCTTGCTATAAGGAGTGAGTGATTGATGTCATCAGCGACTTTATTGCTTCTGAAAGTGATTAAAACACTGCATAGAAGGAACTAAGGAAGTACACTTTTAGAGCTTTAACTGTTTGAACCCAATTCTACACAACTTTATATGCTAGTAACTAGACTTGTGGTTTCATTGTAGTGTCGTATATGTAGGTGTGTACTTATAGAGTGCTGTTCGTTTGAGAATGGCACTTCCGGTGTGAAGCAAACAATGCATTTTCTTGGTCATCACATTGCACTTCTGCGCTTTAAACAGTGCAACTTTTCACTTGTCAGAAAAAAGCTTGATTTAAATAAAAAAACTGCCACCACAGTTTGATAAACTTTTTTGGATTGTTGGCCTTTCTAGAGCCTTTTATATTTTGAATCTGGCTTTATCATTTCTCTCCTAAGAAGATGTTGTGATTTGAACCAATATGTCTGTGTGGGCACTTCTGATGTTGCAGGAGCTATCCAGCGTCTTCTTCAAAATTGTTTGCTTACTGCAGATGCTATAGACAAAGCTGATGAGGCCACCATCAAAAGCCTTATATACCCCGTAAGCACTCGGTGAATTGTTTTGCAGTTTTGCAGTTGGGGCAAAGAATTTGAAGTTGAAGGACTTTTACCACTGTCACACAAACCCCCAGACTGTCAACATGCTGCTATCTTTGGGTTTTTGCTTAACATAATTTTAAAATGGCAGTTTGCGCATCTTCTTTTCTTACTAGGTTGGTTTTTATACGAGAAAGGCTAGCACCTTGAAGAAAATTGCTAAAATTTGCCTCTCAAAATACGATGGAGACATCCCCACAACGTTGGATGAGTTGATTCTACTGCCAGGGATTGGTCCTAAGATGGCTCATCTTGTAAGGATTTATCTCATTTTATTGCTTATCAGATTTATGTGTTTTTAAAGTATTTGTGGTCTGGAGTCAGGTTATGAATGTCGGATGGAATAATGTTCAAGGGATATGTGTAGATACTCATGTACACCGTATATGTAATCGCCTAGGATGGGTGTCACGCACAGGGACAAAACAGGTAACATTTTTGTCTGCCTTGATATTGTGTTTCAGGAATGATCTTTAATATAAAATGTTCTGAAAAAGTGAAAGCCATCCAAGAACTTTCTTGCACCTGGATAAAAAGTTCTAGCTTGTAGCATTAACACATTCCACCACGCACTAAATAGTGAAATTATACTGTATAGAGGCAGTGGGACACACAAAATAAAGAAGTGTAACCTGATATTCCATATGGACAATAGTTGATCGGGCTAAAGTCACAAGTGTAAGACTTTCAAAGTACCAATTAATAAAAGGCATTTACCGGCGGGTCTATCCATAAGAAAACTCATATGTAGATAAAACTCACTCTCACTGCCGTAACAAGAGTCGAGAATATTTTGGCATTATTTTTTACTCATAAAAATGATAAAAGCCCGTGACTATGTACATTCAGTAGAAATCTCAATGCCTTGTTCATTTTATTCATATACAGATAAATTTAAAAACTCCGCCATGAGATCATTTTTTTTGGTATCATGTTTGTCCCAATCCAGTATTATTTAGTCACATCACATGACATGAATCGAAATATGAATTTTTTATGGTGATATCATGTATCGATTCATGTTAGCCGACCCCAATATCTTTTGGGACTAAGGCTTGGATGTTGTTGTTGTTGTTGTACAGATAAATTTAAAAAGAGACCTCTTGTTTTTATATCAACTTTATAAATTATTCTTAAACTCTAACTTTACAAAACAATGGTTTCCTTGGGATCGACACAGTATTTACCGGTTACTATATCACCTTGTACCGAGTTTAGCACTTTAGCCTGATCGACTATCTTGAAACAAGTTCTTTTTATACAATTTCTCACTGACTGCTATGTGACAATACAAGATCATCTGCTACTAATGTGGTCAAGTAACACAAAAAGAGAATAACAATCAGGCTAGTGCGCCGCACCCGTTGTCAGTCATAAAGTTTGTCGTTGATAATGCAATTTTATAGGCGAATATCTAAGCATATAACTTTACCACAACTAAGTATATTTAAATGGCAATAAGATTTTGTGAAAATGGAAACTAATAATCCAACCTTTTAGCGGTTTTCTTTCAATAATCCCATCTTTTGATTATTCATGAATAATCCAACCTTTGCACCTCATCTTCATTCATTGGTCCCTGGTCTGTTAATGACCTACTATGCCAAGTTATTTTTTTATCTTTGCAAAATATTATCTCTGTGAAAGATGAGATTTATGGTAAGATGATTTGCAAAGATAAGAAAATAGCTTGGAATAGCAGATCATCAACCGGTCAGAGACCAGTGAATGAAGATGAGGTGCAAAGGTTGGATTATTCATGAATAACCAAAATGTTGGATTATTGTAAGAAGACCGTTAAAAGGTTGGATTATTAGTTTCTATTTTCCCAAAGATTTTTACTTTTTGTAATGTAGAAAACTAGGACTCCCGAGGAGACTAGGAAGTCCCTGCAGCTATGGCTTCCCAAGGAAGAATGGGATCCAATCAATCCTCTTTTGGTATGTACTATACATCAATCTGTTTGGAACTCATAAAAGTTAATGTGCTTATATTGAATTTTGTTTTGTGGGACATGCCTTCATTTATTTAAGGGAAAATTTCCGAAATAGGATTAAAAACGTTTTGAAATTCCAAAATAGGATTGTCATGTTTTTCCCCTAAATAGGAGTATCAACTATCAAGCATGGAAGATACTGCCATGTTTAAAGTCTGATGATGCCAAAACATGACATTAATTACTCCTATTTAGAGAATAACAACATGACAGTCCTATCTTGGACTTTACAAACGTTTTTACTCCTATGCAGGGCAATTTCTAATTATTTAATTAAGAAACACATAAATTAACAGAGGTGGTTCAGAGTGCTCTTTGGATTTTAGCTCAAGTATATTAATTGAGCTTCTGACATTCAACTATATTTTTGTTCTAAAGCCTAGCACATGGATTCATACATAGCCAATATGAATGTGTTTTGAATATTGTCTTGCAATGACTGAATTGTTACCATGCATGCAGAAGTAAAACCTATGATGATGGCGGGTTTAGATTTTCATCTGAATGTCCCTTATACATTTGCAACAGGAAGGGCATCCTGCTTAGAAGCACTTCCTCTACGTTTGTTTGCATGAATTGATATTGTTAGTTGATCTTATATGACTAATTGACACCATAAATTGATGCCACGGACTAGAACTAGTGGGGATTGATGTGACAGTAATGATGATGGAATACTGAACTGTGTTTTTCATTGCCCAACTCTAGCTTAAACGTTTGCAACAGGAATGGCATCCTGCTTAAAAACACTGCCTTTATATTTTTTTGCATGAATTGATATTGTTAGTTTATTTTACATGATTAATTGACTAAATTGATGCCACGGACCATAACTAGTGGGGATTGATGTGACGGTTATGATGACGGAATACTGAACTGTGTTTTTTTATTGCCCAACTTTGGCTATGGTATACCATAGTCAGCCTAATGGACAAGTCCCCACATTATATGTTAGTTAATAAGGATTGCAGATCACTACCCATAGTTGCACATAAATAAGTTATCATCATCATTATCAATACCCCAGTGCCTCAAAGGGGGAGTTGCACATAAATAAGTATTAAGTAGAAAATGTTCATGTATTGATTTGGATTATCTTTATGTAGTTTTCTTTTGCCTCATTCGGTTTCTGCCTAAGAGAGCATATGAGACCTCAAGGCTTGACAATTGTTGACAGGTGGGATTTGGGCAGACTGTATGTACACCTTTGAGGCCCCGCTGTGGAATATGCACCATTAGTGACATGTGTCCTGCTTTCAAAGAGACACAGGCCCTTTCACCCTCTTCCCGGAGGAAGAGGTCATAAGACATGTACAAATTCTTGCTGGAGAGCTATGTTTTCAGGCTTCCTTGTGCTGTCAGCATTTTGGCATTCCAAGATGCCCTTTTGGGTGATGTGTTTTTTTGTATGTACACAATATATCGCTAGCCTTTTTGTCCAGGCCGCAAAAACACTAAATTGGACGCAAGGGTGATATCTAGAATCTCAGAGTCGCATTTGGCATTGATGAATTGCATGTGATTATGTGATGAACAGTTTGATAATTTTGTTGGAATATTGATGGCTTGATGTATTAAAAAAATATAGTATGCTTGGTGTTAGAGTTTATGATTTATATTTATTTATATTTATTATAGGATGTGTCAGCCCCTGCGACAGCATGATGTACTTGAAAGTGAAAACATGCAAGTGACAATTTTAGTAATGCCGTAAAATAGTTTTCTTAGGTTGTTTGTTGTCTGTTTCTGCTTGATTGGAAAATTTGAATGATAGGTGGACTTTTTGGAAGGGTGAATGGTTACCAAACTCAATTTGTTTGTGTTTAGTTTGAAGTTTTGCAAGAAATAATATAATATACGTGTCTTGTACGTGGATCAATGATATAAGATAACTAGATAAGTATTCAAATAGTTTATCAGTTACGATTATCAACTAAAATTTATTGGAGAAATTTAGACTGAGTCATCCATCTACCATGTCTGCGGAGCCGGTTTCAAACCACAAGAGCCCTTTTGAATTCGGCATACAATCTAGTCGAGGAGGGCCATCAGGATGAATTACCATACTTCGTATTGAGCTATGTCAGCTAATTTAGCTGGGGGGGGGGGGGGGGGGGGCATCAGACACTTGCGGTGGACCAGTAGGACTTTTAAATGACGGAAGGAGCCGAGTTGGAATTAGGATAGCCGGTTCGGTGGTTGACACTGAAATATTATATTTTTGGTTAAAAGATTAAATAAGCCTTCGAACTAACTTAAAAAGTGTAATTCATCCTTTATTATGAATTTTTTTGAACATCTTCTTCATTCAGTCTAGTATACTCATACCAAATTTCAGTTAAAAATTCAATCGGGAAGGCAGTCAAATGAATTTTTAAAGATAACTGCGCAATTAAACAATGTAGTACATTTCAGAAAATCATTTGGCTGTCTTCCCAGTTGAATTTTTATCTGAAATTTGGTACGGGTAAACTACACTTAATAAAGAAGATGCTAAAAAAAATTCATCAAAAAATTACACCGAGAACCGTCTCAATTAATGACGGCCGGACATAGCCTCCTATATAAGAGGTGAGTTGCACTTGTAAGTTAGTTCAAGGACCTATTTGACCCTTTAGCCTATATTTTTTACTCATATTTCGGGTAATTTTCCATTAAGCTAATATAGACTATAGAGTAGCATTATATGGCAAACTTCTCATCATTCATGTGCTAGATAGTCTTAATCCTGCATTACAAAAGGATGACAGGATGACACTCATCTTTGAGGGGAGAGGGCTTTCGAAACCTGCTGAATAATTATTTGCGAGAATGTAAATTGTGTTTAATCATACATCAGTAGAGATAGAGAGTTTCATTTCAGATGGTTATTTCAATTCAGTTACATTTCAAAAATTCTTTGGAAAGGATTGGGGACCTCCGCTTGTGTAAGTGAAAAAGTTAAAGGCAGACTCATTTTTAAAGAAGCTGCTCCCAACATGAGTATAAAATGAACATCAATAAAAAAATAGAATTACATATGTTTTAGGGAAAATGAAAACTAATAATCCAACCTTTTAACGATCTTCTAACAAAAGTCCCACATTTTCATTATTCAAGAATAATCCAACTTTTGCACCTCATCTTCATTCACTGGTCCTGACTAGTCATGGACCCGTGCCTGGCCGGGCTTTTTTTTTGGGAAGGAAGAACCGGAACCGGCCCGGATAGGCACCGGTTCCGGGCCGGGCCAGTTCATGTAATTTTTTTTTAAAAAAAAATCTTTTGCTTTTCTAATTAACCCCCACCCCCAAACCCCCCAAAATACCCAAACCAACCCGGGAGAAACAAAAAAAATTGAAAAAACCAAAAAAGAAAAAAGAAATAGGCCGGGCCGGTTCTGGGCCCAAACCGGGCCGGTTCCACTTTTAGGAGGCCCGAGCCCGGCCCGATTAATTCCGGGCTCGGGTGGCCCGGACCGGTCCTATAACCGGGTACCGGGCCGGGCCGGGCCCAAACAGTACCGGTTCCGGGCGGCCCGACCCGAGTCCATGACTAGTCCTGACCGGTTGATGACCTACTATTCATAGTTACTTTCTTATCTTTGCAAAATATTATACCATAAATCTCACCTTTCACAAAGATAATATTTTGCAAAGATAAGAAAATAACTTGGAATAGCAGGTCATTAACTGGTGAGGGGCCATCGAATGAAGATGGTGTGCAAATGTTGGATTATTCTTGAATAACGAAAATGTGGGACTATTGTAAGAAGATTGCTAAAAGGTTGGATTATTAGTTTTCATTTTTCCTATGTTTTATTCTCAAAGTAGCATTTTGTTTATTCATATTAAAATAACAAAGTAATAAAAGCTTTCTAAAAAGAGGTGAGTGGATCATATTCTAGAATAGGCTCTTCACTCTTGTATAAGAAAGTCAACCATATTTTACTCCTATTTACGAATTTCTTTATTTTCCTTTTTGTGAAAAATACAATTACTGCGTAATAAATATAGGAGTAGTATATATTTGTTCCATGATCTATTTATATATAATCTACTAGACAAACACACATTTTTAGATATGTGAATTATTTACCTTCATATGCATGATTTCACAAATTAAATAAAGTTTTCCTTTTATAATTTCGAAAATAACAATTGTCACCTTTCTCTTATTTTCTTTGCTTTCGCATAGAATTTTCATCAGTGTTCCAAGTGTTGGTTGAAGTAATTGGTTTCCCCTCTACAAACACAATATATAGGGGAAATAATTTCAAAAGTGTCAATTATTACCGATAAACCAATAATAATATACTTCTATACTACAGAAGTAATTACTTATTTAACACAACTATTCCAATATATGATAAAGATGATATGGAGCCACTACAAGGGAAATACCCTTTTTAGCCGATAAGGAACAACTGCAAAGCTGATGAAATGAAAAATAAAGGTTACTATTATTATTCCTATTCCTATTCCTATTAAAGTCCGTCTACATTTTTTACTAGAGAAAGTTTATAAAGATTGTAGAATTAAAGTCATGGTCCCATTTTAACACAAATTGTTGATCTTCATGCCATAGAATTTGAGATTTGAATTATGAGACATACGGAATAAAAATGAGAAATTCAGAGCCCGTTTGTTGATGGTGTTTTTCGACGTATCAGGATAGTTAATTTTTTAATCAAATATATAACTTTTGATTTCTCACACTAGATTGTGTAATAATAAGAAAAAATAAGATTGAAGTTACTTTTTTTAGTGTATTGACTAAACAATTTTCATATATAATTTTGATAAATTAGTTAGAATCAACCACTTCAATCAGAATTTCATAAATTTCATAAAGAGACTCTCAAATTTATTAGATCATTATTTATTACTCCGTATTTATTATAAAGTAAACTTTTATAACTGAAAATCTTCACTTGCTGCGTATTAAGAAATGCACTAATCAAGTTCACGAACCGAACAACTCCAAACAGAATCAAGATAGCCAAGAAAGGAAGAGCTGAAAGCCCCAAAAACGGAACGCTAATCCAGGAAAGAGGAGGCGAATCTTTATAGAGGTGAATCTTCTTTTTCTGAACTTTAGACTAGATTGATATCGTTTGTCTCATGTCTGATTGTTCTTGTAGTTCATTTCTGGATTTCTTTGTATAATTTCTTAGCTGTCTTCTTTGTCTATCGACTATCATGTATATTATGAACCTTTCTTTAAACTATAGCCCAAATGTTGTGATTTTCTATTTCCCCCGTGATTAGTCATATCCAGCTGCAATCGATTTCCAGTTAGTATGGTGGAAGTGTAAATTAAACTACTTGTAACAAAGACGACTTAGTTTCAACTACTTCACGAACTTTCTTTAGGGTTTCGCTTCATTATTTAATCACAAGTCATGCATATCTGAGTGTGTTTCCTGGTATTCAGATTAGGTTGTGACTTGTGGTGGAGCTGTGTGTTACCGTGTGAACACGATGTTTCTTGATTGCTGATTTGTCTGAAAGTAGTCTGTTTTATCTAAAATCAATTTTGATCAACTAGTGTTGTGACTGTTGACTGCAAAATGAGCTGTTATTTTTTGTTATTTATAGAGATGGAGCGATCTCTGTCATCTCTTGCATTCAAGGGGTCTGTTGCGGAAGCAATTTCTGATGCCAAACAGCAGAAGAAACTTTTTGTGGTTTACATATCAGGTGAGATAGAGTTTCTAATTTACTCAAGTTTTCTTGTGTGCCATAAAATACTCAAGTGGCTCTGTTTACCAAAGCACACAAAGGGTTATTCATAATCCATTGTCAGCTTTAAAATAATCGTGGACTGGATGAAACAACCAATAAGCTATTTTGCAATGCATTTCCATTTCACTTTCCCTCCCACCATCATCATCCCCATGCAATTTTTTATTTAAGTTCTCCACTAACTAGCATCTATATAAGAGTTAGTTGTATCACCGCGTGCATGTTTCTGTGTACATGTGCTTGGGCATATGTTAATGTTACACCTTTGCGGCAATGATGTTAAGTGAGTCTAGGGATAACTAAAATTCTTGTTCATCATAAGACAATATGCATTTCTTATGATAATTCCCCTCATGATCAAATTCTCAAGTCATTCTAGAATCCATTTGTGCATTTTTCTTCTTCAATTGTCTGTAGTAGTTTAGTACTTGCGTTTATGATGCCCCTGGCAGTTGCTTTTGGATTATACACAAAAATTAATATAATTCGTTGCCATATAAAGAAAAAGATTATTTGAGCAGGGAAGGAATTCATCTTTTCACATTAATGCTTCTTTTCACATTAAAAAAGGCTACTTTGTAATCAGCAGTGGGGGATGATAGCCTTATACTTTTCAATGTCTATGGATTAACGAAACTTAAAGATGCAATTCGTGAACAAAAAATAACTACATGCACTCCCCAATGACATTGCTGATATGGAAATGGTGAAAATGTATTTAATACCCAAAAATAAATATTACCAAAAGTATTTGAAGTTACAAAAAAGTGACTATGAATAAGGGAACACGTTCAAGAGATTAAGAGTAAAATAAGGCAAAAGGTCATATTTTAGTTAGTGGGGTTTAAAGTAGTTATATTTGTGTAATTTTTTCAAAAATAAATACATCATACAAAGTGACATAGACATGCAATTAGTGGATGTATAGCGACGAGATATTACTCATGCAGAACAACCATGAGCACTAAGTTCCACACCCCAAATCCATTCTTTGCTACATATTTCAAGTTCATTGCTGATTTTGGGATGGAGTGCATTCAAATTAGATAGCTACTGTTCTTGTTCGTACTTGTTTACTTAACTTTTTCCTTTTGCAATAACCTAACCAAGTAATGCATTCTCATTTTCATCCCACATTTCAAACATGTTGTAGGTGATAATTCAGGATCTAGACATTTAGAAACCTCCACATGGTTGGACTCTCAAGTAAGTTTTTTCTCTTTCCGCTAATCCTAGTTACTAAACTTACTATTAAAAATTTCAAATCTCTTAGTTGCTTAAGTTCTGTGATCAGGTGGCAGAGTCTTTATCTAAGTATTGCATTTTGTTGCATATTGCGGAAGGAAGTAGTCATGCAATTAATTTCGCAGCATTGTGTATCCTTTACATCCGTAAATAACTAAATATGCAATCTATGCTGTCCACGTACTGTTAAGCAGAATTTTTTAAGTGTACACACGGGCCGTACTTTATCTTATCTAAAGTTTGTTTTAGATTTATCCCCTTTTATAGCTTCTTATTTAGCCCATTTGGTGTTTATATACTTTTTTGTCTGGATAAATGTAATTATGCATTGAGACGAAAAATGGTATGTACAAGGTTAATGGGGCATACACCAACCACAGTTATATAAAACCCAAACTTCGAAAGCCTGTGCAAGTAATACTAGACCAGCCAACCTATTCATTAACGAGTGAACCATAAATCAGGGTAAGCCTATACAAAAGCTTATAAACCGTAATACGATGAATAACCATGGTGGAGTGTCAAAATGCGCCTCTATAGTATGCACAATTGCAAACGAAATCCCATTTGGACGGGCCTTGCTCCTCACACGAGCACCTAATGTTGTCAATTCTAGACAATTGAGCGTAGCTGCCTATCCTAAAAAGCTATAAAGGTATTGGGTATAGCGCGATCACCTCTATGGTGACAGTTTAACAGTTTTATGCAGATTACACAATTATGTGTATGCATATAATTACATGCCTAACATAAATCAAATCCAAAAAAGTTTAAATAGTACTAAAGTCTCAAACTCCTCGACCTTCCTAATTACTTTTTTACCAACCAACAATTATTGGTTTCTTGAACATAACATATGATGACGAAATTTACGGATAACTAATGTAACTTACCTCTAATAACACTCGTTAGTAGCATTGTCTTAATATAAATTCAGGTGGTCTTCATTCACCACTATTTAGTTCTCATCATCAATTTCTTCTTCTAAATTCATGTCATTTTCCACACAATTCTCACTACTTTGTAGCTGTAGAGCTCTTCCTCTTCATTAGATTTTTCTGCATATTCAACAGTTAAGAAGAACATTTGGTCAAAGAGGACTAGGACTTGAAAAAAGGACAGTTGGCATTTATAGACGTGCAAGTGTATAACTCTGATTGTCTAAGATTGATGAAGAGCTGCTTCTTTTTTAGGAGCGAGACTGGATGCTGTAAGGTTGGTGAAGAAGTACAGAAGAAAAGACTTGCAAACAATATTTTTAGAAGGCTAAGGGGGATTCGAGTTCTTAATGTGCTAAAACGGAATAGTGAAATTACGCTAAATCCCCTAAACCTAACGCAAACAAGTCTAATCCGTAGCTGAGATAGTGAGACATGTTAATTGCTACTGCTGCTGCCCTCTATTCCCATTACAGCCAACCGCTCAGCTAAGGAAGTACTGGTAGCATTAGCATCTCGGGCACCACTCCACTACAATACTACAGTGCCACTATGGCGTGCAATTGAAATAACTGATTATAACTATGTTTAAGTTTACAATGACATGAAGAGGCCTGGGATGTCGCTTATTTGGAAGTGTTACATAGCTCAAGTGCTCAACAGTTATCTTTCACAGTTTCACCTTTTGATTCATGTTTATTGACTAATCTGGGTGAAGCACATGAAGAGTTCTTCATTTATTTGGAAGTTTACATATCTCTTTAGTTTTCTTGCACCATTTGGCTCAATCAGGCTCCTACTATTGACAACCTTTTAATTTTGGAGAAACGCCATTTGTTTTTTTCGTGGCACCAAAAAAGAATTTGAGGCGCATTTTGTTTTCAGCTGCAGTTTTTGAGGGACGTGTGGGTTTCATAAGCTCTTGGCTAGGGTTGATACGGGAGTAGACCACTAATGCTAGCATGGTCTAATGGTTGAGCATAGGGGCTCTCACAGTGATTTTAATAGCCCGCTACAGCGGCACCAGGCGCTACTCTGCCTCCTATGTGGAGCAGTAGGTTGTAGTAAGGATTGCTAGTGTTATAGTGACAATTGTAGGTGCTATAGTGCTGGTACAGTTATTTGATTTCTCCATATTAGGCTTTAAGGGTATTGGGAGCGGGGCGCCAATTTTAGGTTTCAGAGGATTTTTAAAAGGATAGAATAGGCTTTTTAGAGTAAAGTCACTAGTTCATTGTAAACACGTCGGAAACTTCAAATGCCTCTCGGACTTTTAATTTTTTTTCTCATAGCCCGTTTTTGTTTGTTGCTTCGATGATCCTTCAATGAACAGTCTTGCAGTTCAAAAGATGATGCAAGTATGTAACTCTTCGACAAGTTTAGATATCCAGAGTCACGCTTCTGTGGTGATGCCAATTGTGCATCTTCATATCCACATTACTAGTGAAATTTATAGTGGAGATGACATGGATTTAGAATAATAATAATAATAATTGGATGATACGTAATGATGAATAGTGAATGAAGAAGAAATGGATTTAGAAAATAAAATACTACTAGTCAGTGCTGATGTATACAAAATATCTCGAAACTTATGTTTGTTTTTAATGCTTAGACTTGAATTAATTCATTTATTTGTATCATCATAAGTTCTAATCAAGATACCAATTACCTTGGTTGGTAGTTTAGTAATTATGAATACCATATTGCCATGAAGTTTGAACTTTTAGTAAATTTGTCATTTTTGGATTTGATGTTTGTAATACTTTGTATGCTTGTAATTAAATCGTTTATTCTGCATAAACTTCTAAGAGTAGTAGTCACACACTATATGCTACACAATAGTGTTTTCGGAGTAGGCCACTACACTTTGCTATCCCAGGTCAATAACAATGGTCATTGTGGATAAAGATATATTGCTCGAACTTTTTAGTCAGCTTGAGAGTCGTTTACCCAAGCTTTGTGGTAAGTTACTATCAAGACTATTCTTGTAATTCTTTTGAAAATGTGTAAAATAGCACATGTGCTTCCTTCTAAAATTCAGTCCTACATAGATTTCCCCCCAAAATGTGATGCGCTGAAAAAGAAAATGAAAGGACACCAGTTCACATTGATTAACCGATTATATTGATAACAGGCCACAGAAATTGCAAAACAAAAGAGAAGACTTGCTTCTTTAGTTACACTGACACATTCTATGGAAGGCCAAAGGAGTGTGCTGTATATAGGCCCCCTAGAAGACAATAGAAAATGTAAATAAATCCAATTTAATAGGGAGCACAAGGTCACCAATGAAAGTTCCATGGTAGGATCTCAAGCAAACCACAACCTAGGGAGTTCAGGAACTAAATTAAAGTCCCAATCCAAACCATATATTCAAACACCTTTGCTCCCTCTTCTTCGCTGAACAGCCTGTTCATAACCAAGAATGGAGTGTGGAATGAAACAACTGCCGTACTTTTTCAATGGCTGGTTCTCAATTAATATTGTATCACATAGGATGTTTTTAACCGGACTGTAATTTGTTCTGTGTATTTTACAACTGTCAAAGTCTGGTTTGGTCTGAAATCAGTCTAATTAAAAACATCCTTAGAGGCTTAGGGTGTGGTAGAGTTTTTTTTTTTACCAATTTTTTATACTTTCAATTGCACTTTTTTTAGTTTAGCTGTGTCCTTGCATCAAGCATACAGATCCACAGAAGGCTGTCCCATGTATTACAGCTGTTGGATTTAATGGCAAACTACTTTGGCAGCATGGTGAGATTTCTCTTTTCAAATTAACATTTTTATTTTTTATTTTGGTTGACATGGAAGTATGGATGTTTTTTATATGCCTAGCTAAATCTATAGTTTTTCTCGGCAGCATTAATTAATTCATGTTGCCTTTCTTTAATGAATCTGCAGAGGGCTTCGTTGCCGCAGACGTTCTTGCATTTAGCTTACAAAAGGCATGGGTAAGTCCTCATATTCAAGCAGGACTTCTTTATACTGTTAGCCCTAGGACTAATGGATGATTACACAAAATTCTATACAACAAACAAAATTGTATTTGGCAAGTAAAGATTTTAATTTAATTGATGGGGTCATGAAATAATTTATTGGTTCATGTAGCTGACCCCTATGGTGTGGGATTAAGGTTAGTTGTTGTCTGTGCTGTATTGTCACATGAGTAAGGAAAAGAGCTCGGAGTGTCTGTTTGTCACTCATGAAAAACGGTCTGTTAGTGATCAGACTTTTATTTTTTTCACACTAATTAAAAGAGAGCATACCCTTCAGCAATCCCAATCCCAATGGTGTTTTTTTACACTACTCTCATTTATTAGGAGAAGGGGAGCCTTGGTGCACTGGTTACAGTGTTGCTGACTTGCTGTATGACTGAGAGGTCACAGGTTCAAGTCTTGGAAGTGGCTTCTTGTCAAAATGACAAGCGAAGGCTTGCCAATGTGCACCGGGCTGCCCCTTTAGTCTCATTTATTAGGAATTTTGTGATGGCTAGATGCCACTTTATGCTTAAAGGATAATGATGTTGCCATGTTGGCAGTAGGTTACTAACAGTATGCCACATTCCAGAGAATCCAGACCAATTCAACATCCCATTTTATGCCTATAGTTGAGGAACAAAGATGTTGCTGATAGTGTGCCATATTTCGGAACATGACTGCTGAAGTTTTAATCTTCACTTATGGTTACAAATTTACAACATCCCATTTTATCCACATGTGTGTTTCTCTTCATTCTATACATTTATGTGTAAAATGCAAAGTAATGAATAATATGATGCTTGCAGGAGACAATGATTGCTGCACTTGGCCCCAAGGCTGAACTTCCTCCTGAAATTTCGAGTTCTGTCTCATCTGAGCAGAGGAGTTCTTTGAGGGAAAATATCGAATTGCCACTTTTATCAGAAGCAGAATCGGTCTCTCATACGGTTAGGCCAACTATGGATTCTCAGACCACAGTCAAGGAAGCAGAGGCATCTCTTGAGGCTAGACCATCTAATGACTCTCAGGTTGCAGTGAAAGAAGCAGAGGCTTCTGTTGAGGCTAGACCAACTATGTACTCTAAGACCAAAGTGATGGTAGGGTTTTGTACATTGGGTTAATGATAAACTGAGTATCTTCTCCTCTATTCAGCATGTGAATAAACTTAATTTGATTTATAAAACTTATCGTGTGACAGGAGATAAATTCTGTTCCAGTTGACACATTATCTCCTGGGTTAGCTTCTGGTGGTCAATATGGAAGTGGTGGAAGTAACAACTCTGCTGTCCCTGTTGCAAAAGTGGAAAAGTCACCTGATGTTGGCGGAGACGCTACTGGCAATTCTAAAGAACGGAGTCTCTTGTTAACAAATAAATCAAATTTATCTGCCCAACATCTGGTACTAGATAATGAAGTCTTCAAGGACAGTAGCAGTAAAGCAACTGAAGCTGAGAAAACGAATGTATCAGAGCCTTCAATGGATGTTCATTTAAACATCAAACTACCAGATTGTTCCAGTTTACAAGTGAAGCTTTTAGCAACGGACACTTTGAGAGCAGTAAAAGGCCATATTGATAGGGAACAAGACATTGGCTTTTCTTATGACCTTGCTGTTCCGTACCCACGCAAGGTCTTTGGTGATCAAGGTATTAAGTCCTGAGTTACATTAGTGGAGGAAAAAAGAAGTAAACAGAGCATCTTAATCTTATCGAGTGCGGTACACTCCATATGCACATGCATAGTCCCATTTTCCATCAATGTTAATGATTTCCAAATGGCAATCACATTTCATGTTTTGAAATGATTCTTAAGCATCTCGACCTTCATGCTATATATGTTATAAACAGCTCCGTAATTTGGGCCATTCCCCAATTCCCCTAATATTGAGTTTATTACTCCCTCCGTCCCAAATTGTAAGGCAATTTACAGTTTACGATGTTTGACCGACGATAAAGCAAACGGATCCCTGTCCGCACTCAAATTATTTTTAGAAAAAAAGAAATACATATTCAGAAACTACATTAAAAGCTTTACGAAGTCGCAAAAACCAGAATCAAATTTGATAAAAATTGATATATAAAGTAAGAGATTAAGAGTGATTTGTGTTGACCAAGTGAATAGGAAAAGTATCTTACAGAACGGGACTGAGGGAGTAGTAATTTAGTATTTAGTATGAAGAGGAACTATGATGTAGTGGTAATGCTGTTTCCATGAGATATTATGACCTCAAGGTCATATCTTCTAGCAGGGAGGTAGCCTCTAATAGTATTGTGGAAACCCTAGTAGTATGGGCTTAGCCCATTTGTATATCTTGTATAGGAAACCCTAGTATACTCTAAATATAGCTATAAATATAGCTTCTTGTATAGCATTTTGATATCAAGAATATGAAATACAACAATACTTTCACATGGTATCAGAGCCACTATGGCTATTCTTAGTATAGTGCTATGATTTTTCTGGCGGCGTCATTTCCGGCGATATTCCGGCGTGAACAGTAGCGTGACTCTCAATTTAGTGCTTCCGGTAGTGATATTAACCTACCGCTGTGCTCAAGCTTCGTCGCGACTTACCGCCGGAGGAATCACCTGCGCCGCATCACCCACGCGCCGCCACGCATCGCTCAGGTCCGCACCTGCAGTTTTACATATTTCCAGATCTTTGTCTTTCTGTTCATCTGGCGTTGACACCTCCTATCACCGGACATTCCTGAGGTCCCGGCGACCTGAACGGCGTAGGTTACGTCGCCGCCGCCGATCTCACGCGCCGCCGCCGATCTCACGCGCCGCCGCCGATCTCACGCGCCGCTGCCGAACCTTCACGCCGCCCAGATCGGTCGTCGCCGCTGCTCTTTCCGCTCACCGCTGCCTTAGCCACTCACCGCCCGCCGTTCACAGTTCTTCTTGCTGGTTTGAAAACTTTCAGTGTTCTGCTTCTTGTTTGCTAGAGTACTCCGTATTTTCTTGCAGTAACTTTGAATTACTCATATTTAATTTTCTCTTTATTTATTTAAAAAAAAAAGGTAAAAAAAAAAAAAAAAAAAAAAAAAATTAATTAAAAAAAAAAAAAAAAAAAAAGAAATGTCTTCTGGTTTTGCTTCATTTGCTTCAGTTCCTATTATTACAACGGACCGTTTGGTTGGAAGTGCTAATTATCAATCATGGGCCATTTCTGTGGAGATGTGGTTCAAAGGTCAAGGACAAATTGATCACTTGCTTACAGATGCCAATTCAGTCAAGGATAAGAAAACGGAATGGGAGAATATGGATGCACTGTTATGCAATGTTTTGTGGCAATCCATGGACTCCAAACTTCACCTTACATATCAATCATATCGGACGTGTAAACAGATTTGGGAGAAAGCCAAGTCTAATTACACTAACGATATTCAAAGTTTGTTTTCTTTCGGATCCAAAATTGCCACGCTCAAGCAACAAGAATTGGACATCCAGGATTTTCTAGGCCGGGCTGAGGCTTTACTCTTTGAGTATAATACCATTCAACCTATCACAGAAGATAGAGAGAAACAACTAGAACAACGCCAACAACTTGTTATGGTTTTAGCTTTGGCGGGTCTTCGCCCAGAGCTATTATCTATACGTGAACAAATTCTCTCTAGCTCTACTGTTCCCACTATGACAGACGCTTTTTCCCGAATTCTTCGTGCGGCCCCAATAACTGCTGAATTGGGTTCTACAGATTCTACCATTCTTGCATCACAAGGCGTGGGGTCCGACGGAGGAAACAACAAAGGATATTTGCGTCGAAACCGACCTAAATGTGATTACTGTCATAAGATTGGGCATACTAAAGATAGATGTTGGAAGTTACACGGGAGACCTCCTAGCTCAGCCACTGTTGCTCAGATTCCGCCATCTCCGGTTGTTCTACCTCCAGATGAATATGCTGCATATCAGAAATTTAAGTCTGCTCATGTGCCTTTATCTACACCTGGTACGTCTACCGCTTGTGTTTCAAACACCACAGGCTCATGGATCATTGACTCAGGTGCTTCAGACCATATTTCTGGTAATCCCCATCTTTTATCCCACATTACCAAGCACCAACACCTTCCTTTAATTACTTTGGCTAATGGCCATCAAACTTCGGCCACGGGTATTGGGCAAGCACTACCACTTTCATCCTTACCACTACATTCAGTCTTATATGTTCCTAATAGCCCTTTTAACCTTGTCTCTGTTAGTAAAATCACGCGTGCTCTTGATTGTTCTATAACCTTTTTTGCTGATTCTGTAACTGTGCAGGACCGTCGTTCGGGGAAGACGATTGGCGTCGGGCATGAATCTCAAGGCTTGTATCATCTTCATCCTGTTGATCCAATCGCTTGTGTCTCTGTTGAACCTGCATTAACGTTACATAACCGCTTGGGTCATCCTAGCCTCTCAAAGTTCCGACGTATGGTTCCAGGTTTCTCAAGCCTTTCGTCTTTAGATTGTGAGTCATGTCACCTTGGAAAGCAACCTCGTAAATCCTTTCCAAGGCGTGTTAATAAACGGGCTGCGTCCCCTTTTGATTTAGTTCATACAGATGTGTGGGGTCCGTATCGAGTCACTTCTACTTTAGGATTTCGCTATTTTGTTATTTTTGTGGACGACTTTTCCCGTTACACATGGTTATTTTTAATGAAAGAACGTTCTGAATTATTCCATATTTTTCAGACTTTTTGTGCCGAAATCCACACTCAGTTTGGTCATTCTATCAAAGTCTTACGCAGTGATAATGCTAAAGAATTTTTTGCGGCACCCTTTAATCAATTCATGGCATCACGGGGTATGCTTCATCAGTCTTCTTGTGTACACACACCTCAACAAAATGGGGTAGCTGAACGCAAGAACAGACACTTAGTTGATACTGCCCGTACTATGCTACTACATTCACATACACCACCTCAGTATTGGGCAGACGCTGTACTCACTGCGTGTTATTTAATAAATAGAATGCCTTCCTCGGTTATTGATAATGAAATTCCTTATTCTTTGTTGTTTCCTAGTCGTGAGTTATTTCCATTACCACCTCATGTGTTTGGGTGTGTGTGTTTTGTCCATGATTTTACACCTGGATTATCTAAAATGTCAGCTAGGTCAATAAAATGCGTTTTTCTTGGATATTCACGAGTCCAAAAGGGTTATCGTTGTTATTCTCCATTACTTAAAAAGCATTTTATTTCGGCTGACGTCACTTTTATCGAGTCCTCCTTTTATTACCCATTATCTTCTGCTGATACTCCATCATGTTTGGACTTCGTCTCATATCTCCGGCCCATTCATACAGAAACGGTTATTTCTCCTCCATCTGATGAGCACCCCCACTGCCCTCCTGTGGTAGACCCTCCTCCATTACAGGTATACCATCGTCGTCCTCGACCTCCTGCCATTGAGCCTATCGTGGCCACGCCAGTTGATTCCCCTGTGACGGTTCATGCATCATCCCCATCAACTACCGCACCACCTGAAAACACTCTGGATGATTTGCCCATTGCCCTCCGAAAAGGTACACGTTCTACACTGAATCCACATCCCATATATAACTTTTTGAGTTATCACCGCCTCTCTAAACCGTACTATGCTTTTATTTCCCACCTGTCTCATATATGCATTCCTAAAACCACACATGAGGCACTGGCACACCCGGAGTGGCGTAAAGCCATGTTGGCTGAGATGGAGGCTCTCCATTCTAGTGGGACGTGGGACTTGGTCCCCCTACCCGCTGGAAAATCAGTGGTGGGATGCCGGTGGATTTACACGGTTAAAGTTGGGCCTGATGGGGAGATTGATCGTTTTAAGGCACGCCTTGTGGCAAAAGGGTATACTCAGATATATGGTTTGGATTACACTGACACTTTTTCTCCTGTAGCGAAGATTGCATCAGTTCGTTTGATTTTATCCATGGCAGCAATGAGCCGTTGGCCATTGTTCCAATTGGATATCAAAAACGCATTCCTTCACGGAGATCTACACGAGGAAGTTTATATGGAGCAACCACCTGGGTTTGTTGCTCAGGGGGAGTCTGGTATGGTGTGCAGGTTACGTCGTTCATTGTATGGCTTGAAGCAATCTCCACGTGCATGGTTTGGGAGGTTTAGTGCCGTTGTCTGCAGCTTTGGCATGATTCGCAGTGCTGTTGATCATTCTATATTCTACAGACATTCTGCTGACAACAAATGCATTTATCTTGTTGTGTATGTTGATGACATTGTCATTACAGGTAGCGATGATCAAGGAATTGTGCTCCTCAAACAACATCTCTTTAGCAAATTTCAAACAAAAGACTTGGGAAAGTTGAGATACTTCCTTGGCATTGAGGTCGCACAGTCTGAAAATGGAATTGCTCTCTCACAAAGAAAGTATGCCTTGGATATTCTTGAGGAAACAGGGTTGCTAGATTGCAGACCAGTGGATACACCAATGGATATAAACGTTAAACTCTTATCAGAACAGGGAGATCTTTTGCCCAACAAGGAAAAATATAGAAGACTTATTGGCAAATTAAATTATCTTACCATCACAAGACCAGATATTTCATTTGCGGTAAGTGTTCTTAGTCAGTTTCTTGATAAGCCATGTACTGGACATTGGGATGCAGCTATCCGAGTTTTGAGATACATCAAGAAAACTCCAGGGCAAGGATTGTTGTTTGAAAATCGAGGCCACCATGATATTGTGGGATACTGTGATGCAGACTGGGCCGGATGTCCGATGGATAGACGTTCCACTTCGGGATATTGCATCTTGATTGGTGGAAACTTAATTTCATGGAAAAGTAAGAAACAGGATGTGGTTGCCAGATCTAGTGCTGAAGCAGAATATCGTGCAATGGCCCTTGCTACATGTGAAATCTTATGGTTGAAACATCTCCTCCAAGAGTTAAAATATGGCAACACTAAACCGGTTCAACTCATGTGTGATAATCAAGCCGCAATGCACATCGCATCAAATCCGGTATATCATGAGAGGACAAAACATATTGAAGTTGATTGTCATTTTATCCGAGAGAAGATCACAAGTGGACATATCATCACAAAATATGTGAACACAACTGGACAACTTGCAGATATTTTAACTAAGTCTCTTAGAGGTCCTAGAGTGGGATATATTTGTAACAAGCTTGGTACATATGATTTATATGCTCCAGCTTGAGGGGGAGTGTGGAAACCCTAGTAGTATGGGCTTAGCCCATTTGTATATCTTGTATAGGAAACCCTAGTATACTCTAAATATAGCTATAAATATAGCTTCTTGTATAGCATTTTGATATCAAGAATATGAAATACAACAATACTTTCACAAGTATATATGGCAACACTACATCTGGCCTTAACAGATCGAACCTTTCCCGGGGCCTGCAGATATTTGTTTAAATATCTAACCCTGCACATGGAAAAAGGAAGTAGGGTGCCCAAATTGTTATTTCCCGAGTTTCGATGCTGCACTAATGTGAGTATATTCTGTCTTTAATTTGTGTAGATCTAGATAAAACATTATCAGAGCTGAGTCTCCTCAATCGACAGGCACTGATAGTGGTCCTTCGTCACAAAGGAAAATCACCATTACAAGACCAGAATGCTTTGCCTGACAAGACTGGTGCCACAAGTGGAAACACTGAAGGATACTTTTCTTTTGTTAGGCGACTCTTCTCTTATCTGAATCCTTTCTCTTTTCTTGGTGGTGGTGCTAGCTCAGCAGATGATGCACACATTTCTCAAAGTGGCATGTCACAAAATGGTAATTTTTCTTAAATTGTTTTGATATTTGTTGCTGAATCTTTGGGAAGAAATTCAATTGATGCTTCTCTCACTCATTTCATTTTTCTCTTTATTGCGACAAACTGGTGTGGTATTGCATGCTTAGCTATTGGTGCATCTGTTTATATTGTTACAACTCAGAGTTTAATTTAGAATGGCAACACTTGGATGAGCTTTCTAGATATTCCCATGGATCGAGCCACACTTCGGACCTCTTCTTTTCGTCTGAAAAGATGTTATCTGATTGATTTAATGATTTTGTTTAGATGTGGTATTATACTATTATCTGATCTGGCCTGAAAATTTTTTGCTCTGATTTTCTATAATGGGTTGTGGCCTGTCTTATTTGAATAGTTCTTATCTTGTCTAATGCCCTTGTATGAATATAACATATGATCTGATCTAATTTAATCTCTTGTCTCTTGTCTGATTAGAATTAAAAAAAAAGGCAAAAGGATAAGAAACAACATAACACGTTTATCACCTTCATTTGATTCATTTCGTTATTTAATATGGAGGAAAGCACCTCCATTCTTGGTCCATTTTGCAAACCCATAAAAATGAACAAACATACAAATAAATAAACATAAACACACGCAAAAGCACGAGTCAACTACCAAAAAAAGTGCTTATTTTTTCATGACAGTGTGGCTTGATGAGATAACAACCCTTCAAGTTAAATACATTTTAGGTAGATGCACTCTATGGTGCTGCTAGTGTTTAAACTTTTTTATTTAGAAAATAAAGCTATTTATGGTCGGAAATTCGTAATTGAATTAAAATAGATTTGAAAAACCGTAATAGGATTACTAGGGATTATATAAAATCACGCATATAATGATGGAAATTTGTTATGTTCTACGGAACAATGAAAGTTGTGTGACATCTCCAATTTAGAATTGATGATGAAACTCGGGAATTGCCTGCATTCTCCAATTTAGAACATTCCCAAGAATAAGATAACTCAGAGTTTGAAATCAATCAAAATGTGGAGTTAAAGATCACTCCAATCTTGATAGCGGTCTTGGATATTTGGTTTTGACTTTTGAATGTCTGGTCTAAATCACTAACAAATCACATTGTAATATATGATGTTACAGGAAATGATAGACCATATGGTGTTAGTCCATCAAATGAGCTTACACCGGGTACCAGCAGCAGCAGTACGAGGAGCAGGAATCGGTCTGCATCACACTTTGGAAGCAATATTCATACATTGAAGCATGATGATGATGACAGTCCATTCGGAGATGGGAATGCATTTTGGAACGGGAATTCTACTCAATTTGGTGGTAGCGAAAATAAATGATACAAAATATAATCCTTGCTTGTTCTCGTAAGTACATAAAGGTTTTTGTTTTTTGACTGACTTTTCTTTTAAACTGCAAACAAATATAAATGTCCCGACTTCTTCTCTGTTGTAATGAGCTTACATACATAAAGGCTGTTTAGGCTTTTAGCGATCCTCGTTTATATGTTTAGCAAACTATCTCAGTACATGTATATTTTTTAAAGTTCTATGGGTGATTTTTTTTACCTAAGAGCTCAGAGTTGATATGTTGAGTATATCTGTATATGGTTCATAGAAGAATTCTTTTTCCTTTTTTTTGTTTCTTGACATGGTGATACTGTGGCTCTGTGAGTGTTTGATATTATCATGTGATTATTATCTGACTCACTCATACTTTTGATATTAGGTTATTTTGTCTAATGTTTTTTATGACGCTGTTATTCATATAAAAAGAACAGTAAATATGCTATCAAATCATAACAAACAGAATTTTCAACTTAAACGATTTTCGTGAAAAAAAGTTGCATGTGAATATGCCCATGTTGCGACTTGGGATTATAACTGCAAAACTTAAATTATTTTTCTCAAATTATAAAGTTGATCGTAATTACAAATCAAGATCTGTAGCTCGAATTTTTAGTGTAATCCAAGGGGTTTTGTCATCAATATTATAAAATAAAAGTTTTGAACAAAAACGAGACTACTCTTAATTAGAGAGGGATTGGGACGGGCCGACCCAACCCGGACCCAACCTGGGCTTGTACTGTTTGTATTGGCTCGGACCTAGTTGATCGGGGCCGGGGCCGGTGGCTTGCATTTTGGTGGGCCGGTCTGGACCTGACGACTACTAATTCAAAAAACAATCTTTAGTTTGATTGTCTGCTAATTAAAAAAAAATAGGCTTGACCTGACTCAGGTTGAGGCTCGGACTGAGGCCTGGCCGGGTAGCCTGGACCGGAAGTAGTACAGATACAAACTAGGCCCGTATCGGGCCTGAATTTCAAAGTCCCAAAGCCCGTTTGAGCCCGGGCCCACCTGGCCCGAGTCCATGTCTACCCTTAATTTGAGATAAGTGACTTACAAGACTTTTGTACCCTCACTCAATGGCAGTGGCCACCAGCGAAAGTTACCATTGGCGCGTTGGCGGCCATAGTAACCACCGTTGGCAACACTCACCCGGCTACAACGACCAGTGTTCTCAGTTACAGTGACAACCGCCTCGTCTAGTTGCTATCGTTCAACACCTTCCGGTGGTCGTCCTATTAAGTGACCGCAGCCCTAGCCCACCGTAGCGGCCATTGCCTTAGATTTGTGAACCCTAGTTGCCTTGAACATGTCCAATGGCATTGCCTTGTTACTGCCGCCACTATCACCCACATCGTTGATAAACCCTAGATGTAATACCATAGTCGTCGTCTGATATCCATATCCACCGCCATTGGCCTCTTGCCACACAAATGGGACAAATTCAACATTCGGTTACCAAGAAGCTGACAATAGGAGAAGAAGAGTAAAACAAAGAAGACCAACCTGGATGAAGGCGATGCCCCTGGAATCCTGGATGATGGCGGTGGTGGCCTTCAATTGACGGAGATACTGACAACACTAGACTACTAGAGTAGAAATCGAAGAAGTGAGGGGCGACACTAAAGTCAATGAGAGGTGACGACAATGACAAGGGGAAATGTACCGTGACATGGTGGACACGGAAAATCACACGAGAAGATCGATCAGCAGAGAGAAAAGAAAGTAAAAGGAATTGAATTATTGGTGTTTTAGTCCCTACAACATTTTTCCAATTTCTTTTCTATCAAAATTAGAATTTAAAATTACTCTTATTTTTGTCCATATAAAAATCTATGGTTTATTTTTCTTTCACATTATTTCTATACCAATGACTAGTCTAAATTACTGTAAAACAAATGAGCATTACGGACAGAGCATCATTTCGTATTCTTGTCGGTTACGGTACTACAGAGCACACAACCATCCGAAATCCCTCCCAACGACAGTCTTTGAGCAAAACACTAGTGGAAATACTTCATGGTTTTCAAATTGATTTGAAATTTATGGATTTTAAGTTAGACTGCTTATAAAGTTAATCCCCGAGAAATAGTTAAATCGATGTTAATACTTAATAATATATTCAGAAATTACACTGAAAGTTATACAAAGTTGTAAAACTGAACTTACAATATGCTAAAAAAATATTGGCATTCTAAATAAATGCAATCAAATTATGTTGACAAATCGGTTTGAAAAGTAAACTTTTTACTCTGTAATTTGTATTTTGCCTATCAATTGCTTTAAAGAACAGTAGCTTCACACGAAACTCCAGATCATTTAAGTTCAGCTCAAACTACAAACCATTTTAATTTCAAAAATGCCAAAGGAAATGGGGTACTCATTTTGGGTATATTTTTTTTTTAATTACTCATTTTGGGTATCTTCAGCATTACTCTTTTAATTTAATAGAATTGTTCACCCCTCTAAACTTCAACTGTGGCTAGGGGAATAGTGGGGTGGGGCTCCAACCAAGCCAAGCGCCCATAAATAAAAGATCTTACATTTGAAAATACCTCAAATTTTAAGATTACCTTAAAAACGATAAATCTCATATCAGTTTTTACGATCGGTTAAAAAAATGAATGCTCAAGATCCTATGTGAATGATTAATGTGCCGTGTATTCTTGATGAATTCGATATAGCCTACGTGACTACGTCAGATGGACGTCAATGTAATTTTAAAAAAATTATGTTACGAAAATGGTAGTAGTGTCTTTTTACAACTTTCCCACATGTTAAACTATTTTAAACATTTTTTTTAATTTTCATTTTTGAGTTTTGTATTTCTAAACTTTCTATATATTTTATGATATATTTTTAATATCTAACTTCTTTATTTTTAAATTTAAGTTGCAATTTTCAACTTTCGAGTTTTAAATTAGTATTTTTCTTACTTTTAATGTTTTTATAATTATTTTCATCTTTTTTACATTATAATACAATGTAAATTTTACATTTATTTCTATTTACATACTATCATTGAGAAACTATTGGAATATACTAGTTTACCAAAGAGGTCAAGAGGGTGAAGAGGGATTGAGTGAGACGGGTCGACCCGACCCGGGCTCATACTGTTTGTACCGGCTCGGGCCCAGTTAACCGCGACCGGGACCGGCATCGACCCGGTACTCAAATAGGTATATTTTGGGATGGTGAACGTGCTCGGGTTTTGGTGGACCGGTTGGGACGGCCAATCCAGGCCTAACGGTCAAAAATTCAAAAAAACAAATTCCCCTTTAATCCCATCGGCTGGCTACTATCAATTCTGGTGTCAACACTACCTGTGGAACAAGATTTAGCGCAACTGACAATGTCCTAACGGATTATAAAACGAGATTTAAGGCACAATCTTTTGAGACGCTCATTTGTTTCCACGATTGGTTGAAATTCCGGCATAAAACTCAAGAAGTTTGAATCGCCCTCAACCACCACTTCATGGAGGAAACAACAATCGACGTTGGCGGAGATTCGAATTGATTTTTAGCAAATGTATTTATAGTTTTAAATTATACATTCAATTGTATTTCATATTTCAAATAAGTATACATTCAATTTTTATTGTCTAGCATTTGTTGAATTAATCTTTAAAAAATCAACAAAAAATGGGCTCAGACCGACCTGGGCTCGGACCGAGGCCTGGCCGGGTAGCCTGGACCGGAACCAGTACCGGTACACACTGGGCTGGTACCGAGCCTGTATTCCTATGTCTCGAAGACCGCCTGGGACCAGGCCTGAGCCCGACCCGACTTGAGTCCATGCCTGAGGGTGAAGAGAGGGAGCCGTACATGTATCTCTTCGAACTATTTGGAGTATATATTGCGGTATGTGAGTTGTATATACATGGTTTATTTGTGAAAAGAAAATTGTACGGAGTAGTAGTTGGTCTATTCTTGAAAGAAAAATCAAAAGTGAAAATGATACAAAGTATTGTTTTCACTCTGAGGCTTATTTGTGAAAATTTTCCTAAATAGAACTGAGTAAAATTGCAACAATAGAAACTTAGGGTTTGTTTACTAACAAAGATATTTTCCTGTTATTTTTCGTTCCCAAATTTTCTGTTTTCATTTTTCAGTTTTTCTATCTCCAATTTTCTGTTTTCATTTTCTAGTTTTCCGTTTTCAAATCTGGAACACGTTCACCGAATTTCTTCAACCGCAACTGTGAGTCTGTGACACACCAAAATACCGAAACTACGGTTCCAGCCCGGAAACGAACCCAGTAAACCCAAGTAGGGTACTCGGCCCTGTGTATAGGAAACTCAGGACCAAAACCGCCTGGTCCTAGTCGGTCTCAACGACTAGTTTGACTAATTCTTTTGCCTTTTCGACTATTGGTTGGCAATTCAACGACTCTTTTGATCACTTTAAAAATGATTTAAAAAACGAAAACCGAACCGCCGAGTCGTCGACCAGGCCGGACAAAGACCACCAGGTCATTAACTAGAAAAGACGGGGACTGCCGGATCATTGACCGGATCAAATAGGGACCGCCGAGCCATTGACCGAATCGAATCTAATCAGGAGTGCCCATCGGTCAACCAAACCAATCAGGCCTGGTCATTGATCGGACCAGAAAGGGACTGTTGGGTTGTTGACTTGATTAGACCAGGACTATCGAGCCATCGACCGGACCACACAGGTACTGTCGGGTCATTGATCAGACCAGTGAGGAACCGTCGGGTCACTGATCGGACTGGATCGCCGGGCTGTTGATCGGACCAGATAGAGATCACCAGGTCGTTGACCGGACCGGACCGGACGAAACTCACATCGAAGCGGGATCAAATTCACCACTAGGCGTAAGCACGCAAATTCATTAAACACGTTTGGAAAACTAGTAAAACTCATTTCACCAACTCATTAAGGAAAACAATGACATCTCATTTTGTTGGCTTCGGAAAATGATTTGGTAACGCGTTTTCTGTTATTCCTTCTTTAGTTTTCCAGCAAAATTATTCACTACACACATTTTCCGTTTTCCCTTTTGCAAATTTCAGACAAACTGTAAAATATCTTTGTTAATAAACAAGACCCTTAAATTAATTTTTAAAGGCGCTCTAGCGAGAGGTTCTTTACCCTAGCGAGAGCTGAGCGTTTGTGTTTTCTCCGTCATTGTGCGGCACGGCCATAGTCCCTCTTGTAGGGTTGCGATTCGCCGTCTTTTGTGCGGCGTGGTTTGTGTATCAGCGAAGGGCGTCAACTGCGGCTATCAAAGGAGCACCTTTGCTGTGAAGATCGATGGGGAATATCCAGCAGGAAGCAAGGACAGAAAAGAGAGAGGATGGCGGCTGGGTGAAAATTTTGATCGAGGATGGTGAAGAAGTGGCGGCCGAGTCGGAAGAAACCCGCTTTGGTGTTTCAACAATCATAGAGATGGTCCGACCTCCGCCTGAACCACCGCCGAGGGTTGATCGAGGTTCTAGGGTTCAAAAAAGTCATTTTGTTTGTTTAATTTTCTTCACATTCAGTTTTTACTTGGTTGTTTACTCTGTTTTGATTGTGCTATGTTTTTCCAGTAAAAGAACTCTGGATGTTAGGAAAGGGGACGAGAAGTCTGGTCTGCAAGTCACTGGCTCAGTTAAGCCCAAAGCGAGATTAACGAATTATATGACTTCTACGGAGGTAATTAATTCAAAGTCTGGTTCTAGGGCGGACGACAGTCAGAAGACTTTTTGTCATATTGTAACCCGCTTATGTTTTGTTATGATAATTTAAGCCAGTTTCGTTCAAAAAAAAAAGAGACCCTTAAAGTTTAAATTCCCAAAATAGGACTAACCTTTTCTACTCTACCCTTTCCCTTGTCACGCTTAATAGGAATTTTTATATAATAACAATAATAATAAAATATACTTCGTAAATAATTTATAAAATGTAAAAAATAAATAAAAAATTTACATGCCTCAACCACCTTCCGACACCGCCACCTCGAGTTGCTGAAAAAGAATGTCAAGTCAAAAAAAATGTCATCGTGATGACAATTTGAAAAGAAAGCTATATTTTCAGAGTAAAAATGTCATATTAATGACATTTGGAGGAATGTGGCATTTCTTTACACAAGAATTGCATTTTTTTCAGACGATCAGAGTTGTCACAGTGGCCTACATGTTTTTAAATATTTTTTAGGATTTTTCTTTTTTTTTTGGAATTTTATTTTATTTTTTTACTTTTAATTTTTTTTAAATAATTTTATTTTTTTTTTTGTATTTTTTTAGTTCAATTTATCTTTATTTTTCCTGTTTTTACTCGCTCCGTTTCAATTTGTTTGACGCACTTTGACTTCACAAAGATTAAGGAAGCAAATTACTGAAGGTAAATTTTATTGTGGAGTATACTATTTTGATATTATTTGACATTGTTTTGATATAAATTTGTTTACCAAATAAGGAAATAAGTATGACATTCATTTAGAAACAGCCAAAAAAGGAAAGTGTGTCAAACAAATTGAAACGAAAGGAGTATTATTTATTTATAATTTTTTTATTACTTTTATATTTTTATATAAATAAAACTATGATTTACTTATTAATAAAATAAATCTTTTAGAAATTATAGGAAGGATAGAATATGAAGAATGGGCATATATTACTCCTATTTTGGAAATAAAAAAAATTGTAATGCTATTGCATTTAAAAATACTTTTAGTCCTGCCTAGGCTAATAGCCGAAATATTCATGACTGACACAGCTTTAAGAGAAAAAATAAAATCCAAAATAACGCACAAGCTTCAAGTCTTCACAATTGATAGGTTCGTGTATGCTTTTTATAGTACATAAAATACGCCAACCCTCACTACTAAATCATACACAGATACACAAACTATGCAAGCACAAACAAATCCCAAAAAACAATAGGGCAGCTGCAAGCCCATAAGAACAGCAACATCAGTACATATGATACTATGATCCCAAGTGTAATACATATAGAGAGTGCTTCATGAGTGAGTATAGAGCAGTAGCATAAACGGAAGGTGTAAGGAGGTGAAACCTTAACTGCTCCCCCTTATTGAATTATGTTGTTTTACACTGAACATGCATGCCTCAAGAAGAAGAGGTTGTGGAGGATGGATAGAATGCTTTCTGCTCAGCACAGGTCAGGAATTCATGGGGCCCTGCTTCTTCACGACCAACACCCAGCAAGTCGAGGTAATACAGGTAATGGGAGATGATGCTGTTCATGGCGTCAACATCCTCACCTTTGCCACATACTTCATCACCATAGAGTATGTTCATGGTAGCACCGAAGCCAGGAACTCTCTTTTCTAGAGTGTCGTTCTTGGTTGGCCTCCAAGTGTTGACAAGAATAGTATGAGCTGAGGGCTTCCCCTTACGCAGTGGCGTCATCCACATCAACATCGCAGCCTGGAAAGCCAAGGTGGCGTTTTGTTCAAGGTATTCAGGGTGGTTCAGGAGATCCACATTTAGTTCTTCACCTACGCGTCCATAATTGAAGTTCCTGATCCAATAATTATAATACTTATAATATCAACAGCAACAAAATAAATATAATGAAAAATAAAAGAAATAAAAGTAATGGGCATGATGTGACTTTTATAATGCAGTGATAATGGTGGTCTTTTCACAGTAATGGTTGTGACCAAGGTGATATTCAATTTTACTATGCAATGACTACAATGGTATTGTAGCAGCTGCTAAGTTTTATTTTAGCAATTAAGGACACCTAATCAAATAATTGTTAAATATACAAATAGTCATAGTGCTATCATAGTAGTATAGTACTAGTAGTATTCTTATACGCAGTAATAATTTCCCATTCTGTTAGGGACCGGGCCAATTAGATAATAAGAATAAAGGACCGAACCTATTATAGTATTAATAAGAATAAAGTGTAATAGTTTAGTATAAATAGAAGATAGCAAGGAAGGGTTGAGCAGGCTGTTTTAGACTTTGACTTTGGGACTTTGGGAAGATCGAGAACTTTCTCTTTCTTTGGGGGGCTTCGGCTCATTTTGGGGGCTTCGGCCAGAATTATCTCTTCTACTTCTGTAATTGTTTTCTCGTAATCAATAAAGGTTCATCTGTTCTTGTTGATCTTTGTTAATTTTTGTCTGGAAATCTGGTGGTTCCTATCACATTCCTATTAGGCTATTAAGTTTGGGTTTCATATTCCTACCGGGTCTGAAATTGTCAGTTCAAAGTCATCAATAATCATTTTTCAATTGTATTGGTAATAATACTAATAATAATAAGCACTAGAACCCAGAGAAATGGTTCACATATATAAGCAGAGAAAGATTACCAGTAAATAGGCAAGGCACCACGGCCATGATACAGAGCTCCAGGAGCACAGGGATAGATCACTGAGTAGCTTTCATCACAGTAGGCTTGCATAGGACTCATCTCCCTATTATAACATAGACCCCAAGCCAATGGTCCTCCAGTAGCCACACCATAACCACCTTCAATCAAGGAAGAGACCAAACAGGGTTCAAATAGACAGTAAAGTGCTGCATGAACTTTCACATACAACTTCTCACAAGACTCAATGATCCTCACAAAGAATAAAAAACTACCAAGTCTTCAGTTTTTTTTTCTTTCCCCTCGCATCTGTTCTTAGTAAAGGCCCCAACTATACATGTAAAATCCGCTGATTGCTGGAGCAGTGGAAACATGAATCAAATATGATTTCTATATAAACCAGGGCACGGCATGAAACCTAATATTAACCCTACAAACCTGTTACAATGTCTCTAACTAATTCAACACTAACTATGTGATCTCTTTTCAATTTTCAAATAAAACTCGAGATCTGGCATTTCTCTCTCTAATTAGAGAATGAAACAGAAATATACTGAAGCTGAATGGTTAGTGGTGCGAAATCATAATGCTTGTTTATTTTAATCAATCAAATAACAATGGATAAATAGAAAGAGAAGGGTATGCACCGACATGAAGTTCTGGCACCAATATGGCCAAGGAAAGCGGCGAGTTCTCTCATCTGCATTTTCTTGCCGCCAGTTGTGCAGAATCCTTTTGGCTGATAGTCCGTGGAGGCAATGATAAAAGATTTGTAATCATAGAAGCCGGCGGCGTGAGCAACGGGGGAGTTTCTCTTGGAGAAGAGATTCTCAAACTGGTAGGAATCGAAGAAGTCGGTGATGGTCAAATTACAGCAGAACTTGGAGTGTTTGCACTCCCACTCTTTCGAGCATATCTTCACTCCCTTCTTCATCACCACAGTCGTCGGAGGCGTTTTTGTCAGCTGCTCCGCTTCACCACTCACAGACGCAGCCGCCGCTGCCAGAAGCATTACCACCAAGCCAACCAGTTTCAACGAAGGCCCCATCTCTTTTCTCTTCAAAGTGATCTAGACGATAACCTAACCAGTGAATATTTTATGAAGGGAAATGGAAGTGGCTGATCAGATGAGTTGAGATCTGGAACGGGAAAGAGAAATGCAAGGGAAGTTTGCTTCTTTTTGCAGTATGTATTTGGTGGTTCTGGGGGTGTGAGATGAAGAATCTCTATCAGAGGAAGAATGGACGGGGGAGATGAAGGGAAGAACCAGGCTGGATTTGGGAAGACGCAATTGATGGGAAGGATGGTGAAGGCTGACCCACCTTTGCCAATGCTACTCCACCGACACCCTATTTACAAACTCATTTCAGGTTTCCTTGAATGTACCTTTTTTCCTTCAAACAAAAACATAGTGATAGGGTGGGTGGAGTTCAAGGGTAAGGTGTTAGAGACGGTATAACCAGAACTTTTCTTAATTTATTTTTAGAAACGCATCCTAGTTGTCTCGGGCTTAGATTTTACTTCTCTATAAATATAAGCTCTCTCCCTTGTAATCATGTGTGGATCCGAAAATAGTAATAATATTCCTGACTTGGCAGCGCCCCCAGACGTAGTCATTCGTGGCGAACTGAGTTACCAAATTTTCGTGTGTTCTTCTTATTATTCATCGCGTGCGTGAGTTTAATTCCTAACAATTGGTATCAAAGTCCTAGGTTCGAAGGGAGATCTCACGATGACTAACAATTTGAAGACACTGTTGATGCAGTTTGATGGGACTGATTTCGGTTTCTGGAAGTTGCAGATTGAAGATTACGTGTACGGTAAAGATCTGTATCAACCTCTGGATGACAAGCCGGAAGACATGAAGGAGAGCGATTGAAAGTTGCTGGACAGGAAGGCGATGAGCGTGGTTCGATTGTCGCTGTCCAGAAACATCGCCCTACACACCGTCAAAGCAAAAACGACGAAGGAGATGTTGCAGATATTATCAGATATGTACGAGAAATCGTCCGATGGGAACAAAGTTCACCTGATGATGCGTCTTTTTAACCTAAAGATGTCAGAAAGTACGTGAGTTGTGGAGCATCCCAACGAGTTCAATTTAATCACCACACAATTGAATGCGGTTGAGATCAAATTCGATGACGAGATTCATGCCCTAATTCTGCTCTCTTCTCTACCAGAAAGCTGGAACGGAACGGTGACTGCAGTCAGCGCTTTAGCAGGGAAGGAGAAACTAAAATTCGATGAAGTCAGAAATTTGGCGGTGAGCGAAGAAATTTTCGCAGGAAGGAATCGGGCTTGATTTCTGGATCGATTTTGAGTACAGAGAACTAAGGCAGAACGAAGTCGAAATTCAAATCAAATCGAGATAGATCAAGATCGAAATCCAAGTCAAACAGCAAGGGCAAGAAGGACAGAAGTCAGATCAAGTGCTGGAACTGTGAGGAGTATGGACACTTCAAGAGCCAGTGCAAGGGGCAGATCAAGGATAAGAAGGATAAGACATCTGCCAATGCAGCGACAGAATCATCTGGCGATGATCTCCTGATCCTGAGCGTGAGCAGCCCGTTTGAGTCATGGGTTCTAGATTCTGGAGCTTCGTTCCAATCATGTGGTAATGCTGAAGTGATGGAACAGTATACTCCCGACAATTTTTGAGAGGTGTATCTTGCTGATGACGAGCCTCTTAAAATTGTCGGGAATGGTACAGTCCACGTGAAGACTCCAAACGGATGCATGCTAAAACTGGATGGAGTCCGACACATTCCTGGTTTGAGGAGAAATCTACTTTTAGTTGGGCAGCTGGATGAGGAATGTTATGCAGTTACATTCGGCGGCAGAAACTGGAAGATCACCAAAAGGAGCCTTGTTGATTGCTAAAGGGAAAAAGGAGGGTACGTTGTACATGACAACGAACTCGAAGGACTGCATCGATGTTGTTGCCGCTGCAAGAACGATGTGAATTTATGGCATTGTTGTCTTGGTCATATGAGCGAAAAGGGGATGAAGGAGCTGTGCTCGAAGGGCAAACTGCCCGGCTTGAAGACTGTTGAGGTTGGCTTATGCGAGGACTGCATATTCGGGAAACAGAAACGTGTCAGTTTCTCAAAGGGAAGACGAACTATTAAACCGGAGAAGCTGAAACTAGTTCACACCGACCTTTGGGGACCTGCAGAAGTTACATCCTTGGGAGGATCCGCCCACTACATGACCTTTATTGATGATGCCACGACAAAGGTGTGAGTTTATTTTCTCAAAAATAAATTCGATGTCTTTGATGCTTTCAGGAGGTGGAAAGCTCTTGTTGAGACAGAGACAAGTCTGAAATTGAAGTGCCTTCGGTCTGACAATGGAGGTGAGTATGAACTGCATGAGTTCAAGAAGGTTTGTGCTGAGAATGTGGTTCGTATGGAGAAGACAACTAAAGGGACTCCACAACATAATGGCGTTGCTGAACGCATAAATAGAACACTGAATGAGCGGACTAGATGCATGAGGTTGAAGAGTGGCTTACCAGAGATGTTTTGGGCGGATGCAGTGAACACCGCGACCTTTCTCATCAACAGAAGTCCAACGATCTCATTGGATAATGGCATACCTGAAGAAAGGTGGACGGGTAAGGAGGTCAATCTGTCCTATCTCCGCATATTTGGTTGTGTTGCTTATGTTCATCTCAGTTTCGTTGACCGAAGCAAGTTAGACGCAAAATCTGTCAAGTGTACGTTCGTTGGCTATGGTGGTGATGACTATGGATACAGATTCTGGGATGATCAGAATAGGAAGATTATTTGTAGCCGAGATGTAGTGTTCAACGAGCAGGTTATGTACAAGGACATATTGAGTGCACTTGATTCTGAGCAAGAAAGTCCGAAGATCATAGAGTTGGATATCTCTAATTCGGGTGGGAACAGGTAGGATCAGAATGAAGAGTTGAGTAGTGATGAAGATCCATCAACCCCACCAAGGCAGTGGTCTGCCAGAAACTGGAGAGCACCAAATAGGTATTCACCTTCTAATTTCTATTTGTTGCTTACTGATGGTGGTGAACCGGAGTCCTATGCAAAGGCAGTTCGGGTTGATGACAAGGGCAAGTGGAAGCTTTCAATGGATGATGAGATGACATCTCTCACATCCAATGATACTTGGAGGTGAGTTGAGCTACCGAGAGAAAAGAAGGCTATGCACTGCAAGTGGATCTACCGCATCAAGAAGGAGGCAGATGGTAGCAAACGCTACAAAGCTAGGTTGGTTGTGAAGATATTCGAGCAGCGGTATGGTATCGATTACACCGACATATTCTCTCTAGTTGTGAAACTAACTACTATTCGGTTAGTGTTGAGGTTAGTTGCTGCAGAGAATTTGTTGTTACATTAGATGGATGTGAAGACTGCATTCCTTTATGGTGATCTGAATGATGAGATTTACATGGTGCAACCGGAGGGCTACGTGGCAGAAGGCAGTGAGGATCTCGTATGTAAGCTAATGAGGAGCTTATACAGGTTGAAGCAGGCATCGAAGCAGTGGTGCAAGAAATTTGATGGTTTCATGAGGGAAATAAATTTCTTGAGATGCCACACCGACAATTGCTGTTACTACAAGAGGACCGAGAACTGTTATCTTATCTTGATGTTATATGTTGATGATATGTTGATTGCAGGAGCTAGTTCATATGAGATTGAGAAGCTAAAAAAACTGTTGTCAGACGTTTTTCCATGAAGGATCTTGGAGAGGCAAAGCAGATTTTGGGCATGCGAATCGAGAGGGATGAGGCAGCGGGCAGATTGTTTCTTTCACAGACAAAATACATTCAGAAGGTCCTGGAAAGATTCAGAATGCAATATGCAAAGGCAGCAAGTGTACCACTGGGTAATCACTTCAAGCTTAGCAAAGAAGATTCGTCGAAGAACAAGGAGGAGCGTGCTCAAATGCAGAAAATAAAAAGTGCTCAAACTTTATACTTCATTCGTTCCCTTTTGATTGCAAAAGTCAACATTTCACGTTTGCCAACGCACAAGTTTGACCATTAATATATTTCATTCCTTATTAGTTAAAAAATTAAAAAAAAACATAGTTTGAAAATTTAGAATGAGAAGAATTTAAAAATATTTTTTAAATTCATACTCCATCTGTATCACATATATCTTCCCACTTCCAAAGTGGGTGAGATTAAGAATAGTGAAATGGGGTATGAATTATTGAGGGTATGATGGGAAGATGGTGAAATAATGTGATGGAATGAAGGATAAATCCAAAAAAAGTAGGTGTAATAGTGTATTATTTTTTAAATTATTGAGCGTATGATGGGAAGATTTAGAAAAGAGAAGATATAAATGTTACGTCCAAAAAAGGAAAGTGGAAAGATATGAATGTTATGGAGGGAGTAATACATAGTCAAAGTAGAATACATGAATAGTGCAAAAAGTCTAATGTTGCAATTAAAAGAGAACGGAGGTAGTATTAAAAAAATATTAAAAATAGAAGTGTAAAATATATTTTGGACTTAACCCAAAAAGTAAAGTGTTTAGTTTATTTAGGACCGGAGGTCGTATATTTTTTTAAATAATTTATTAATAAATAAAGCTTAATCAAAGTAAAATCATGTTAATAATGTAAAATTCAACATGTTACACTTAAATTTAAAATGCAGAAACTGTACCATTTAAAAAAAACGGAATTGATACTCCCTCCGTCTCAAAAAATTATATTGTTCCCGGTTTCCTTTTTGGGCCGTCCCAAAAAACTGTTCCACTTTCCCCTTTTGGAAAGTTTTGTGTGACTCATATTCATTTACCTTTTTCTTACTCAAGCACAACCATACATTTCCACTTTATTCCCACTTTTTTAAACTCCGATCCAAGTCAATGCAGGAACGTTTTTTTTTGGACGGAGGGAGTATAAACCTAAAGCTCCACCTGTCAAACTATGTCATCAATTCTTCATAGGTAGATTATATTATAATTGCTAAAAGTTAAAACTTCAATTTTTTGAATGTAAAGAAACTTAAGGGATCCTGGAAAATTAGAACCTTGGAACCACCAAACATCATTTTTAAAGATATAAAAATTATATTAAAATGTTTTTTGTTAAAAGTATTTTTTATAAAAGTAAAATTTATGATTACCAAAATAGTATTCTAATCAAAACTATGTTCCAAATGTCAAGAGATGACTAAAAAATTGGGATGAAGGTAGTACAAAATTGTAACTCAAAGTGCACAATCTCAAAAGAAAAAAATACTTCCTTCATTCTTACATAAGCGTAACACTAATTTTTACACATTTCAAGTGGGTAATAAAGTAAGGGCAGTGTAAAGATAACTTTATATTAAAAATTTATCAAAAAAGAAAACTGGAATTTATTTCGGACATGCTAAAAAGTGTGAAGTTCATTTGGGATCGGGGTAGTATTATTTTTTTAAAATAATTTATTAATACGTTAATAAATAGTGTAATGAAAGTATAAATTTCAACATTTTCTAAAGCACGAATAAAGAATGAATTAAATACCTACAAGTTCCACATTTTGATAGGGGCAAAAAAAGAATCGTATGGAACTTTGTAAATAATTAACATAGAAAAAGTCACATAAGATTGAAACTATTTTTAATGATTCATGCTACTACACAAGAGTTCATATGTTGTTTCATACCCCATCCGTTCTTTAATATTAGTCCTCTTAGGCTTTGGCACGGGTTTTAAGAGGAAAGTAGTAGGGGACTAGGGGTAGTGTAAAGGTGTAATGAGCAGTGGGTAAATGAAAAAGTAGAAAAGAGAAAGGGGTAATGGTAATAAAAGTTGGGGTATACAGGTATATTTAGAGTAAAAACTTTCCTTAAATGGAAAGTAGGACAGATAAAAAAAACGTCCCAAAAAGGAAAGAAGGACTAATAAAAAAGAACGGAGGGAGTAATACTCTGTACGATATTTTTTCTCATTTACGGTATACTACGTATTAAATACCTACCTAATCATTACTCCCTCCGTCCCATTTATATTGTCCCGGAAAAGGGTGTCACGGTTATTAAGAAAAATGGGTTTGTGTGGTTGATATTAATTGATAAAGTAAGAATAAAGTAAGAATAAAGTAGACCCACAAAAACTTTGCCAAATATGGTATGAGACAATATAAGTGGGACTTCCCGAAAAGGTAAAACGGGACAAAATAAATGGGACGGAGAGAGTATATTTTTAGGGACACACACTACGGAGGATATGTTTAAATAATTAGTTTAAAAATAAGACGTTCTCAATAAATGAAAATATGTGTTATCAACCGATGTTATTATAATATTATACACACGATTTTCCATTAGTTATACCAACCCATATACATACATCAACATGCGTATAATCCATATTCAAGGCTATATAGTAAAACTAAAAAAATCATTTTATCCCGTGCACGACACGAGTAACTATACTATTATTATATATAACAAATTTAATGAGACGAACGATAAAAGATAAAATGGGACAAAGTTAGGGGACGAGTATGTTGGAGTAGGAGTGGGTAATTTATTTATTTAATAATTAAATCTGAAAATATTAAAAAAAATTGAGTCCATTCTCCCGCAAGTCACCGAAATTTCAAATTCCCCGCTCGCTCTCTGGCTGTGCGCCAAACCAAAATAAAAAGCAAAAAGCTCCTCGAAGGGGCTAATATATAACCAATCAACTTCCCCTCTCCTCAATCAAGCAATCTCATTTTCTTCTTCACTCAAACCCTAGCAATCCCTGCTCGATTCATCTGAAAAATATGCCTTCGATTCCCGAAGAGCCCCTTCTCGCCCCAAATCCTGATCGATTCTGTATGTTCCCCATCCAGTACCCCCAAATTTGGGAGATGTACAAGAAAGCCATGGCGTCTTTTTGGACCGCCGAGGAGGTCGATCTCTCGCAGGATCTACGCCAGTGGGAGGCCCTCACCGCCGGCGAGCAGCACTTTGTCAAGCACGTCCTCGCCTTCTTTGCTGCCTCCGATGGCATCGTTCTCGAGAATCTCGCCGGACGCTTCATGAAGGAGGTCCAGGTATCGGAGGCGCGGGCTTTCTACGGGTTCCAGATCGCCATCGAGAATATCCACTCCGAGATGTACAGCCTCCTCCTGGAGACTTACATCAAGGACTCCGCAGAGAAGGAGCGGCTGTTCCACGCGATTGACACCATCCCGTGTGTGGAGAAGAAGGCTAAGTGGGCATTACGATGGATCGACGGCTCTGAATCATTCGCCGAGCGTTTGCTGGCATTTGCCTGCGTGGAAGGAATCTTCTTCTCCGGGAGCTTCTGCTCCATTTTCTGGCTGAAAAAGCGCGGCTTGATGCCTGGCTTGTCCTTCTCAAATGAGTTGATCTCTCGAGACGAGGGTTTGCACTGTGACTTTGCGTGCTTGCTCTATGGCTTGCTGAAGAGGAAACTGAGCGAGGAGAGAGTGAAGGCAATTGTGGGGGATGCGGTTGAGATCGAGAGGGAATTCGTGTGTGACGCCCTTCCATGTGCTCTTGTGGGCATGAATGGAGATCTGATGAGCCAGTACATAGAGTTTGTGGCGGATAGATTGCTGTGTGCCCTGGGATGCAGTAAACTCTACAACGCCCAAAATCCCTTTGACTGGATGGAGCTGATTAGCTTGCAGGGGAAGACTAATTTCTTCGAGAAGCGGGTTGGAGAATATCAGAAGGCCTCTGTCATGTCTAGCTTGAACGGTGATGGTGGAGACACTCATGTTCTGAAGTTGGATGAGGACTTCTAATTTACACTCATGCACATCACTTTCTTTATCATTTCTTTGCAAGCTGCTTTCGCTCTTCGCTCTATGTCAGTCAGTCATGCCTTGTTCAGTGTTTGCTTAATTTAGGTCTTTTAAAAAGCCATAGCAGTACGGAGTATGTAATAGTGTTCACGCCATTGTAATTTTCAAGCGCAGTGTTTCTGGTTTCACTACTTGATCGGAGGAGTCACACAACCATGTTTATAAACATCTGTTTTTTACAATTTTACTAAAGATATGGTCCAAAAACGACACTGAGTTTTTTTAATGAAGTTTGGATTGGACACTAAAGTTTTAAGAAGACCAAGAAACACAAATTTAAACCTTTTGAATCCATTTGAGCCACCCTTTTAACATCTCCTTTAGATGAACCTCCCTGCCGCTAAACAACACAGCCCTAAAAGCTGAGTTCATGTGGGTAAACTGACGTGCCACCAGCAAGCTCTCTTGGGAACCGCGACCCAGCTCTTTTGTGTATACCGCTATGGTGTCCATGGATTAGTTTGAGTTTCTTATGTGATTAGCTTCTGATTTCGTAGTCGCTATCCACCTCTAAATTCAGGTCTGACCTTGGTTGAGGCTGAAAGGATGGTTTATGACCGGAAAAGCAAGGAAATTGGATATACGGTTCGTAGATTTACTATCCACGCTTGATGTGCATTTGGACTCAGGTCCTTATTTCAGACGAGTGTCACTGGAATTGGTGAGTGGTTTGGGAGTCCCCATATCCTCGCGCAGCTACCCAGTCGTTCATTGGGGGGTGTGGGAGTCGGTTAGCCAGAATACCGCTTTTGGGGATTGAGCGGTTTGCTGCTCATTTGCAACCTGATCTTCGAAACCTGCTATGGTGAGAAATAACAAACCTTAGGGGAGGCGTCTACAGAAAGTGTTGTTTGATGCAATTGCATTGGGAGAAAAAGAGCCGACCTGTTCTGACTTCTGATGGGAGGACTGGAAGCAAGAAGTGATGAGGCGAAGTCCAAAGCTGATCTATTACGGCGGTGCTTTGTAGTGGCTTTGAATTGAACAAAATAACGGAGCAGTTAACGGGTGGCTGAAATGGAATCAAAAGGTTTAAATTTTTGTTTATTTGGTCTACTTAAAACTTTAGTGTCCAATTTGAACCTCATTAAAAAGCTTAGTGTCATTTTTGAGCCGGATAGTGAGTGCTTGCATTTGCTATTTATTTAAATAAAGTTAGCCATCTATACTCCGTACTCATCTTTAGTTGTTTCGGCCATTTTTTACTTTGTTAATGCACATGGTGACTGGTGGTAGTATTTTCAAAAGGACACATGCTGCACGGGTACAATATCAAAGTAGAAAATGCTTAGAATGCAGATTTTTTTGTTCTATACAGAACATGCCTTGTTATTGATGCTTCTTTTTCAACAAGTCAATAAGATTGTGGCTCAGCTGATTTAGTTTGTTACATTCCAATTTTATCTGGTAAAATGTCTTAACTATCTTAGTTGATAACTTTACTTTCGTGCTCAATAATTACAACTTCGTAATTAGAGTTGCTCAAGAATACATAAGTTATTTATGCTTTGCTGAATTGATGTCATTGAAGGAGATACTGATTAGCAAATTTTATCTATATGAGTTGGTCCTACATTAGAAATATTTGTGTATGACTTTACACAGAATTTATTTGGCTTGGTATATACTACGTATTTAATTTTTAACAATTTTCAGCCTCTTTTTAAGCAACTTTGTATTCATATGTATACTTTTTATTTGAGTTTTTGATGGCTTCTCTTCTAAAGAAAAGTATACTTGATTCTCAAAGTGTGGACATGAAAAACATTCTCAAAATAGAGGAGGGGTTAGTTGGTAAAAGAAAAACTCATTTCAAATCCTTGATGATTTTTTTTTTGTCAAGTACGTTCAAAACAATAAAGGAAAAATTGTGGAGTTACATCTCAAAGATTGACGTGATAGAAAATTGAGTCAGGTTTTTTAAAGTAGACTAAGATATCATGTGACGAAATGAAATTGAAAAACAATGTTGATTGGAAGAGAGAAGTATGGGGAGGTTTTGGAAATAATTGAAGGCAAATGATACTAGATTGGGATGAGAGTTATACTACGTATCTCATAAGTGTTTCTAGTGATTGGTGGTGTATGTATATGATCGAGATTGGAGCTCCACCCGCCGGCCTCATACCAAAAGAAAAGTTGAAAGGTGGAAGAGGCCTTGGATTGATTGATTATCAATGATTGTCAAGTGCATCACGCCCGAGTACTTCATCTCATGGACTTCACCAACAATGGTCCACGATCGCTTATTTCTCCTAAAATATTTCTACAATAAGACCACATGGTTTGTCATGTCATATACTAAGACTTGGGTATTTTTTATTAAAAAATGCTATTTGTACCCATTATAATACCCACCATATACCCACTACATATACTCCCAAAAAATAATTACCCCTTTCACCCCATTTAGCCATTCCCCATCTCTCTCCTCTCTCCTTCCTTTTCAACGGCGTTTCTTCCCTTTCCCCCTCTCCCCCATTCTGGTACGCATCTCTCACCCTTCTCCTCTCTTTCTTTTTTATCTTCTTTTGTTTCTTTTCTCCATTAAATTCTTTCTTTTACGACACTCTAGGACAGACGAACTCCAACATGAACGATGCTCCTGCGGCTCGAAGTGATGCAGGTGGAAGGGATAAAGACGGTCAATCTACTTTGAATATATCAATGACCATCCACTTTTTCAATGTAAAATTCAACCTATGTTTTTCTCTACCTTGTTCGTTGTGTTTTCTATACATTTGGGTTTATTTTTTTTTGATTTTATGTATATAAAATAAAATATGTTAATGTTGAATGATTGATTACATTGGTATATTATTATAGATCTGTGATGCTTATTATTGAAGTTTTAATTCAAACTATTCTATTTCACTTTTATGTCTACAAGATGTTTGTAGAAATGACTCAATGAATTTTTATTCATATCCACAATTTGTGTGTTCATTTTCCTTTTTTGTTAATTCCTTTGACTATTTTATTTTATTATATGAATTTTATCTTTATGTTATTGAGATACTCCGTATTAGTTTTTAAAATCTACTAAATATAGTTCATACATATACTTCGTACTATATTTTTGTAGAAATTTATTTCAATTAAATGTTGAGTTTGAATATGACTTCCTAATTGTGATTGCCCCTATGTATATAAATTCATATTTAATATAGTTGATGTAATCTTTTTGTAAAATGGTTAAGTATATTGTTGAACAAATGTGAAACACAAAAAATTGGGTGTATAACAGTAAATTTAGCCATAACATATTTAAAAGAAGTAGGCTAATCGTGATTGTTCCTGGGTATGACTTTATATTTGGATATGATATTTAAGACTTGCTGACTTATTTTTCAGCCTATTCCACTTTGTTTTGAAGGACTTTTTAATCCAAAAGTTTAGCTTACTTTGCATATGATGGCCAAAGAAGTACTTAGTTTGCAATCTTGAAATTCTAAACTGCAGCTAGATGGTAAGATGGTCACCCATGAAGGCTTGCAGGATGAACAGCCTGGCTAATACTAACAACCAACCAAAAGCCAAATGATGAACAACAAGATGGAGTTGTGAGTACTGGGAATTGCAAGAATGATTTTCCTAAATGCCTTGGATTTGTCAAGGTCAATATGGATGGACTTACAATTGAAAAAGGGTGGATCAAAATGCTCACTATAGGTCATCATGCTCTGTTTTTTGTTTGTAATTACGAGATCAAAATTATTCATTTAGCTATGTATATTTTTCAATAATTTATGTAGCTCATTTTACAATGTAATATGTTTGGTTTTATTGATAATAACCTTGTTGGTCTATGCAATAGAACATACACTAGTTTTCTGTGAATCGTGTGTACAGACGATTCTATGTACAAGTTTTGTCAATGTACAGACAAAAAGACTAAGTTTTGTTTGTGATAGAACATACACTATTTTTCTGTGAATCGTGTGTACAGACGATTCTATGTACAAGTTTTGTCAATGTACAGACAAAAAGACTAAGTATATTCTTTTTTAAAGTTAAATTGTTTGTGACACAGATAAAAAATGTTTATACGTAGGCAATATTTGTATATGTCGAGACAAATTTACCTCGGCAAATATACTTGAATAAGAGCCCGTTTGGAGACCTCTGTTTTCGGCTTATCAGGCTTATCAGCCAGCTTTTTCACCAAACACGTAACTTTTACTTTCGCGCGCTGAATTGTGTAATAAGCAGAAAAAGTAAGGTTGGGGTTACTTTTCTGGCTGTATTGGCTGAAGTTACTGTAGATGACCATTTTAGCTATTTTTACATATAATTTTTTCTTTATTTTATTAATAAAATATATTTTTAAAATATTTTTTTCTTAAATCAGCAGAATCAGCCAAAACAGCCACTTCAGTTAAAATATCATAAATTTCAGCAGAATCAGCCAAAACAGCCAATTTTGGTGCTACCAAACGGGCTCTAAGTTTTTTTTATTTGTTCCCATTCAACTACAATAGCATATATTGTTTGTATATAATGAATAAGTAAATCTTCGATGTGGCAATACAAACAATTTATTGTTTGTAGATAATAAATAAGTAAATTGTCGATGTAGCAAAATGAAAACACAAACAATATAATGATCACACAGACAATATAAATGAACACAGTCAACACAAGCAATTATAATTTCGCACAAGCAGTATAAATGAAAACACAAACAATTATTTTCTAAGCACAGACAAAATAAACAAACACAATAACAATGTTTTAATCATAAACAAACAATGTTTTAACCATGCACAGACAATAGATATGAATACATCTATGAACCTACAAAGTAAACGAATATACAAATAATACACACACAAACAATATAAATGAATGCACAGATAATATAAACGAACACAAACAATTATTTGTTACACACAAACAAAATAAACGAATACACAGACCCTTTTTTAACCACACGTAGACAAACATAAACGAAAATACATGCAATATAAACGAACGCATAGACAATATAAACTAACAATATAAATGTTCACACAAATAATAAAAATAACATATATAATAATGTTCTTAATAATAAATAACAATATATAAAAATACATTTATATAAATGTATATAAATGTTCACTTCAATTTTACATTCTGAATACATTTACATACTCAATACAATAAAAACAGAATATTACTTTACAAAGTGACTATATTACAACAACTAATATAATTAAGATAAACAACATAGATAGTACATAATAATGTTCTTAATGTCATTGTTTGGCCGCCTCTTCTTCACCAAACTGCAATCCCCAAAAACAATCTTCAAGATTTTTTTCCCCAAATGCAACCTCAATCCCAAACTAGGACTTGCCCTTTATGCTTACCTGCTTGGTGCTTTCAGGTTTGGGCTCTTGCTGACTCCAAACATCAAGATTTTTAGGCATCAATGAATTTATTACCTCAATGCACGTACTTTCTGATGACTTACCTAATTCCTTCCTTCATTAATGATCATGATTCTAAACAGTTATCATCTTTGTGGTGCTATAGCTGATATCCTTGGCACAAGAAGGACAAGAGCTAAACTCAAATCTCCTTAAAACTGCAAGCAAGTCAGCAAGTGGATTAGCCCACAGTATTCTTTGCACGCTCAGTTTCGGTGCTAGTGGTACTGATAATTGACCTGGTTACTTGTTTCTTTTGCCCAAACCTTAATTGTGTCGAGGTGTATCCCAATTAGTGTTCTGTAAATATGCTTTGCAGAGTGAATGCTTTGTTTTGATACAAGTTGTTTTACTCTTTCTCTTCTCTTTCTTTGTTGGATTTTACTTTTTATAGATGGCATGCCGCATGTGGATCCTCCAACAAAAACCACTTCATCCAGATTTGCATTTAACTCCTCTGAATTTTGATGTATATAGAGTCAGTCAGGTAAACATGATTATGTGAGTAATAATAAATATAACAAATCAAACACATTATAGCAACATCTTAACAAAGAACTAATATAATGACAACATTAGCAGTACTATGTAGGCAAGAAAAAATAACTAGCAGTGCGACTAACAAGGACAACCAAACATTTAAGCATCGTGAATATAACAACATTTTATTGCAACATTTTATCAAACACATTGTGGGCAAGAAAAAAGAATGACCTCTAGAACATTAAGAGTTATGATGATTGATGAACACCATACATTCCAACAATGAAGCAAAATAGTCCAACAACAGTCCATATAATATAAATAAAACATACAATTTCAACAACAAAAAACTCAATCAAAACCTGAATGAACATTAACAAAAAAAAGAGAGAAAACGTGTTACCTAATGAGTTAAGTTTGGGAGGATGAATCATAGGGCTGCAAAGGTAAATGAACTTAAGGGTGACGTAGGTGGCTAAAAGAGCCGACCCTTTGCTCGAAGGTCCACCTGCAGAAAATTAACAACAAAGATAGCAGCGAAGTGAAAATTAGAGAAGGTTTTTGTGATAGAAAGAAACAAAAAGAAAGATGAATTATAAATGGATTGAAGGAAGAAAGACAATGAAGATTCTTTTTCTGTAAAAGAATGAATTTAATGGAGTGAAGAAACAAATAGAAAAAAAAGGAAGAAGAAGGGTGAGAGATGGCGTACCAGAATGGGGAAAGAGGAGAAAAATGGTGTAGAAGAGGGGAGAAAGGGCGTAGAAGAAATAAGGAGAGAGGAGAGATGGGGGAAGGGGTAAAGGGATTGAAAGGGGTAATTATTTTTGAGAGTATTTATAGTGGGTATAAGATGTGTATTATAGTGGGTACAAAGAGCATTCCTCTTTTTTATTACAACGACCGCTACTTGAGCGGTTAATATACGATTTGGGTATTTTTTTTTTATAGTTACAGGGTTTAATCGGATCATTTAAAAGTAGGGAAAAAGGTCAAATACACCCCTTAACAATACAAAAACCATCATCTAAAAAAACATCAAATACATACATATACATTGAAAAAACAATCATATCAACCAATTTACTTGATGGTAACCCTTTTTAGCTGGTCAAGGCTCATTTTTAATATTTGTCTTTTATCTTTTTTTTTTTTTACTTTGTCTTCATCACCATGCTCGTCCCCCCTCCTTCAACGTGACCTCTTCTTTTTCTTTTCTTTTTCTCCCACTTCGTCCATCATTTTTCTACTACATCCATGTTTATACTTTATAGAGTAACTAACAATCACTGTTGATGGGAGTTTTTTTGTACACTTGACATCCAAAAATTAACAATTCATAATTAAACCCTAATTCTAAAATTCAAGAGGTATATAGACAGAGGGATAGAGACATCAGCACGTTCTATTCAAATCAAACCTTCTTAGTCCAAAATTAAACTAGATCGATATTACTCCATGTGGAGAAATTAGCAAAAGAGATAAAGAAAGGTGTTGAAGCCAAGCTCTGACAACCCAATTGACGGGCATGACATGTACAACTTGTTCATCATAGAATGATGTTTGAGATCGAGAGTGTGCCGCCAGAGGTTGGGGATGGCTCGACGCTGCCATTTGATCTTGAAACGTAGTAGGCTTTTCACATGGCCGGAGAAATTACATTGCAACCATCACCAAAAAACTCGGAAGTGCTTCTCCTTAAGTTACTTTCCATAAATGAAGGAAACGAGAATAAGAAAAGAATAACAAGGGTATGATGAAGATGAAGGGGAGGGGGAGCTGGACGAACATGCCAGGAAGAGAGAGAAAGGAAAATGAGATAAAAATGAAAAGAAAAAAATTAAACAGTTAAGTAACCGGCTAAAGTGGGTCAACTTCCAGTAAAATGGCATATCTGATCGTTTTTTACAAGTTAATGGTTTTATGTGATCCTTTTTCAGTACATAGGCTTGGATGATGTTTTTGAAATTATATAAGGGTCTATTTGACCCTTTTTACAACATTAGGAGGACCCGAGGATGGCCTTGGGTCAGGTTGGTCTGGACTATATTGCTCTTTAGGATCTGAGCTTATCTTCGTACATAGATAATGGACCGAAAAAACAAGTATAATAGTACTCTAAACATTGTTGACAAGTAGCAAGTTTGAAACGAGAATCACGAACAAAGACTACCATATATGAGCGGAATTAAGGTATAATAGTTATAAAAAAAGGGGGAAATATGGAAAAAATACTTATTTTTGGGGCCCATTTTCAGTGGTTCATGTGTTTGAATTGCATTATCACAAGAGGGTCACACCATTAAAAATGTCTGAAAAAGACAGTGTGTGATAACTACTCCGTACAATTTCAAAAGTTCCCGAAAAATTAAAAGAAAAATACCAAAAGGCGCGTCTCATCAAGATGACCTCCAAAACACCTTCGTCTTTAGATGTTTTGGATCTGTTCGAATTGTTTTTTTAAATGATTTTGCTAATTTCAATTTTCCGATTGACGTTCAAGTGATAAGGGTGGTTGGAAACTGAAAAAGATGATCTAGCGATCGTCTTGTTGAGGCGCAGCTTCTGGTATTTTTCTTTTAATTTTTGGAACACTTTTGAAAATACGAGTTACTTTTAACCGTCTTTCTCAGACGTTTTTAACGACGTGACTCTTGTAATGACGGAACTCAAACACATGATCTACTTTGATAAGAAGATACAAATGACCTTATCTAAAAATGGGCCCAATCACAAATATTTTTTCAATACTTCTCCCTCCAAAAAAAATCTTCATGAAATCATAAAAATAATTAACTCAAGGGGCATTGAAAAATTCATGAAAAGCACCAACGAGATTAACAAATTTAACAAAAAATTGGGTTGTCATAGATTTATAAACATGACCAAAAGTTTGAGTTATAAACATTATTCCAATGAATAGACAAATCTTTAGGAAAAACACAATATTTAACACATCTAACTCAAAAATATTCACGCCATTGTTTTTTATGTTGATTATTACCCCAAATATGTCTAATACACCCTTCACGTTCTCCATCACGCTTCCTAACACAGTTAAACGGTCTTTTACACATAAACTAGAATTTCACCTGTGTGTTGCACGAGATGAAATGCATAACCCAATTCTTTTATGTTCCAAAATTACTCATGCTATCCACCAGAGTGGTAGTCCACATCATATTCATCATATAATATCCTTATTTATTATCCTTGATCCCAAATAATGGTATCACACTTACCCACTTGGTAAATCCTTTCTTCGACTTATCAAGGGGCATATATAAAATAATGTATGCATAGGGCATCATAAAATTTACCCGTTTGGTAAAGTATCCTGTCAAGGGACATGTATACATAGGTTGGCTGTGCATTTTATTTACAATTTACGTTACAGACATTGCTCAAGCAATCCAAGAAATAAAAATAAAAGAGATTGAAGCCAATCCAAAGAAGAAGTTGATCCTTAAGACTTTCTGTGCAAACTTCTGCCCTGATCTCTTGTGCAGCAAAATGTAAAAACTACTTTAGAGCAGCATGAGTACACAAAAATCTACCAACTTGCATATGGTGAAGAATAGCAGTGGCCATTATATTATATCTATAAAGCAAACTAAAAATCATTTTAAACCACACATAAAGAAAAGGAACATTCTGTAATGTAAATTAGATTCACATTCAGTTTAGAACTTAGAAGAATTTAAGGACCTGAAAAACTTACTAAAAACAATACTTACTTAAAAAAGGTTTAGATATATATTTAAAATAATGTTGACCTCATAATCTATGCTTACATACTTATTATCAGAATCTAAAAAGCCTTGACCCACTTTTAACCAACAACATTACCTTATATATGCTGTATGCATAAAGTTGGAGCCTGGTGCAAGTGAGATGAACTCTTCTTCTTAGTCCCTAAGTAATTCTCAGCAAAAGCTTGTCTCTATAACAAAAGTTGAAGTTCAGTTTCTACATATTTGAGTTTGGATGGGATTCAGTATTCCGTTTGAGATTCACAATTGATGATGACTCGTTGGGTTAGAGGAATCTTTAACCCCGCCCATCTAATAACAAAAGTTATTCACCATGTTTGGCCTTTGTGATGCATCACAGCATCCTCAAAGAATAAGTTGAGGAGAGATTTGGTGATACAATCATTTCCCGTCTCTATGGATCAATATGTAAAGACAAATCCTTCCTCCCCAAATATTGTTGACAATGACAATAAAAATATTGAGAATGAGAATAATAATGCAAATATTAGAGAGGAGAATGAGGGTGTTAATACTCATAGGGATAATGTAATTATTGGTGAGGAAAAAAATGTAGGTCAAATCACTACGCCTGATATATTAGATGATTCCTTTGACCTAGGAAATCGGAAAGCACCCGAATCTCAAAACCAAATATATTTGTTGGTAGAGAGGTCCTATAAGAGTAAGTGGTCTTGAATCATTGAAAGGTAACGGGAGTTTCAATGACAAACTTTACACTCGATGCTTGGAAAATGGGGAAAGAAATGATAAACCATGGTTGGGTTTTTCTTGGTCAAAAGAAGTCTTTTACTTTTCTGGGGTGTTATTAAAAAATGGTGTGATGTTAAGCCGTCTAACGAATGCGGGTCAATGCTATAATCATTGGCACTACATACATTATAGAGTATGAATATAGCTTTGATCATATACTTAACATGCAAGCATGGAGGGAAACGGATGTTAGGTTGTAAAAAAAAGATAACCATCGGCGCTTCTCGAGAAATAGTTATCAATAAAGAGGAGTATTTGAGAGTTGTTTTAAAGATGTTTATGATTGTTGTCAAGCTACTTGCCACATAGCTTTCAGTGTCAATAAGGAGAAGCTTTCAGATGAAAATAATGGAAACTTTTTGAAGATTATTAATGATTACAGAGTTTGATCCTATAATGGAAGTATATCTCGGTAGAATACAGAATAAAGAGATCCGAAAGCATTATCTTGATCATAGTATTATAAATGAGATGGTACAATTGAACAACTATGGTCAAATGAAGTAAAAAAGTCATTCAATTTGTTTGGAGTGCTTCACTGTTATTCTTGATTGTACACCAGATGTTAGTCATGATGAGCAAATGACACTAGTGGTTAGATGTGTCTACAAACCCTATAAGAGTTTAGAAGTTTTTCATTACATTTGTTAAAGTGATTAAGGCAACTGGTGCAGCTCTCTTTGATGAACTTAAAAAGTTGTTTGACACATGAGCTTAGACATCAATAATGTAAGTGGACAAGGTTACGATAATGGTTTGAACATGAAGGGAGATAACAAAGATGTACAAGCTAGGGTGTTACGAAAATATCCAAGAACATTTTATACTCCTTGTGATCGTCACTCTAAACCTCGTCCTTTGTGATATGACTATAAGTTGTGCACGAGGAAAAACATTTTTTGATGTGGTCCGACATATCATAAACAATTGATATAAACATTTTATACCACTTGGTATTTATAGATACACTGCACCTCACCAAAAAAATGTTTTCGTTTGTGCACAACTCATAGACATATCATAAAGGGCAAGATTTAGAGAATAACAACCACAAAGAGTATAAAATGATCTAGGATATTCTCGTAACTACCTAGCTTGTACACCTTTGTTATCTCCTTTCATGTTCGAACCATTATCGTAACCTTGTCCTCTTACATCATAAGTAAAGTTCATGTGTGTCAAACAACTTTTTAAGTTAATTAAAGAGAGCTTCACCACTCGTCTTAATCATTTTAACAAATGTCACGAAAAACTCCTCAACCCTTACAGGGTTTGCAGACATAT